GACGTTCAAAAATGCAGTTTTGTGCGATTTTTGTCAAGTTTTGTCCAATTTTGTTATCACATAGGCGGGTTACACACCGGTATCGCGGATATGATGTCGCTGATATTTTTCGTGCCCGCGACATGCCCTCGAAAACCAACCTATGTTATCTTATGGAGCTTTACACACCAGTGTCGCAGACACGTTGCCCGCGACTCGTGTCGCAGACGCGTGTCTCGAGTGAACCAACCGGTCGGTGTTTGGACAGACATGTCTCGTGTCTCTTGGGCCCGCGCATGCGCAGAACACGTTTCTAGTAGTTTTGGCGCTTTTTTACTTACTTTATTGCCTTATGGTGTGGAATGTAGTATCGTGATATTATAATACTTCAATTGACACCATAAGGAAATAACGTAAGTACTGTAATACAATTAATTACAATGTATTTTGGAAAAATTACCATGAAGTTATCTTTAATGTTTTTGTAGAAAGAACAACAGCAACAACATATCATCTTCTTCTGACGATGACATTATTTAAACTGATGAATGTTGTGATTCCTTCACTTTCATGTCGCCAGCACGTGCCTCTTCCCATGGTTGCATTTTATTACATGTCGCAGACATCATGTCCCCGACATCAGAAATATCGGCGACATCATATCCGCGATACCGGTGTGTAACCCGCCATAGGCCTAACTTAATCACATATGAAATAACGAACAGCTGTTCGGATCAAGATTATTTTTTCTAGCTGTCACTGATATGTTTATAAACAAATAGTTTTTTACAAATACCTACCACAAACATTTTCGATCACGTTTTGAAAGCAAATCCCGACCAAGTGAGATTAAAAACGTTTATCTTACATAACGGATTTAATTAATCGTAAGTGCAATAATAGGCCTATAGTTGAATTTATTTACCTTACCGTACATGGTATTTTACTGAATTATCATGTAGTGTTGGTTACATTCGGTGTGATGAAATGAATGTTTAAAAGTGATTATCTATAGGCCTATTATTAATACGCTACATGATTGTATTTTTCAAAATTATAAATATTTTTGAAAAAGTCCCTTGGGCTTTGTCGCAGTGGCTTTTAAGTTCCCATGTTATCCAATGAAGAATATATTTGTTTACCGGGTACATTATTATCAACTGGATAATTTAGTTGCTGTTAAAATATTTTAGTTTGCAGTTTAAGGAAACGTGTGTTACAAACATTTACTGACTTGGTTGAAATGAAATATTTACTATTTGAATTTGTGTTGGTCGTAAATATTACAATGGAAAGAAGCGAGAAAGCCTGGATAATTTGATAGGGTAGAGTGGGGGAATTGGGACCCGGGGGTAATTGGGAGCTATTTTTAAAAATTTTTAAATTTTGTATTATTTATTTTTTTAACAAAATTGTAAATACGTTAAAGTTTAGGCATTCTAAAGGGGTTTCATCAAAAATTATTGGATAATTGTAATCTTGTGTTTAATGTATAAAAAAAATAAAAAAATTAAGCCGTGTTTTTTCCCGAATGTTAAACATATGGCAAAACTTCAGCGTGGTAGTATTTCGAGCTATTTTTAATATATTATATGAATTAATAATCATACCAAAATGTATTTTTTGACACATTTAAGGTTTAAGCAATAGTTTGTTAGGGCTTTAAAATTTTTAAAAAAATTATAAATTATTTAATAAATTTTTTAAAAAATGGGTCCCAATTACCCCGGTGTGGGGAAATGGGACCCATATTTTTCTATCCCACATATAATTAATATTAATATTATAATTAATCCCACATATAATTAATCAATAATTAAATGTGGCTGCAGTGGTGATTATCATGTATTATGTGTAAAAACAGAATTTTGAAGTAGGTCCCAATTACCCCAGCATGGAGTAATAGGGAACCAGTCTCATCGCGTGGTTACATCGGTTTGGAATCACAGATGTACCTACAGAAAGGTGAAAAATTTATTTTACAACCACTTGATAAAAAAATAGGGCCTAAAAGAGTGAGCTAAGCCCATAATTGGCCTGTTTTAACTTATAATTGGACTGATAACAACCATTTATTAGAAATTCTTTTGGCTGAAAAAGCAAAATTCCGGAAAGTTTGCATATGACCAGAGAAGAAGTTCGACATAAAATATACTTGTAGTTTTTTTTTATTTAACTATACATGTCTTTAACAGTTTAAATCTATATTTTCTGGCTGTTATCTGCTCTGGTTAATTTTTCCCATTTTATTTAGAAAAAAGTGTAATGTTTTGGAAAAAATAGTTTGAACCGTTCTAATGTCCTAAAAAAAAATTTTTTTTCAATAAAAGTATGTTGCATTTTGTTTATTATGTTTTCATTTTCAGAACCCTATTACCCCCACAAATTAATATTAGGTGCTTATGGGTTTATAAGCATAGGTCCCAATTACCCCATGTGGGGTAATTGGGTTCCAAATTAATATTTATTTTTTTTTCATAGTAAAATGTATTTAAAAAAATGAAAAACAATGTGATAAGAAGACAAATTACAGTTGGAAACCTTGTGCAGGCTCATATTTTGATTTTTTCTGACAATAAAAATATAATTGAAAAAAATAAAAACATGGGTCCCAATTCCCCCACTCTACCCTACACTAAAAAGAAAACTGAATTAGCACTGTGCTGCATTTCTTGAGAATTCATTGAAAGAGGCGTATTTGCAAACTATGGAAACATAGGTAACTCATAGAACACCACCAAGTAGAAGAAATAGAAATAATGTTTATTTTAGAATTTATAATCGTTATTATGGACAACCTAATGCTGTTATGAGTGGGAAATTTTTTTAGAAAACACTAAAATCAAGATCAGCTTTTGAAAAATTATAAGATATTTTTGTAAGAAATGTTGATTATATCGAACTGTTATGTACATCTAAGTATTTCCATAATCTTTGAGTCGACTCTTTTTAGTCATCAGAAATTATTAATTAACTGTTATTAGTTTTAAAATAACTCCTGTAATACTTTGCAATTGCTCGAATTCGAGCAACAAGTACACTAGTAGTCTTAAAAATCGATCCAACATATGTCACTTAAGAAGGCATTCACTACGATTTCATTTTAATAACAGGCCTACCACTTAAGTTTATTGAAAGACGTTTGAAGATGTTGCTTATGGGGGGGGGGGGGGCGTACAATTCCCAGCCCGTACACTACCTGTCCAAGAGGGTGGTACAATTCCACACCGTACATAAATAATTTGATGTTGGCAGGGGGTACAATTCCAGGCCCTACATCTCCTGCTCTTTTTAATTTTTTATATAATCACCCGGTTCACTGATCACTTGCCCACATTAAGTAAATTAGATTCCGTTAAAATCAAAGTGTATGGGGTGTACGAGTTTGAGATCCAGCATAATCGGATTTTCCCATTTTTGACCCTATAAATAATATTTTTGCAATTTATTTTCAAAACCAGTTTGTAGAGCTTAAAAAAATAAATAATTTAGTATATTTAAGCGCTGTTGTATGCCTAACGGTCACAGAAAAAATTTAAAATAGTGTAATTTAAAATTCCCATGTTATTCATATGGAGGAAATGAAAATTGTTGTATTTTACTTGTTTATGGATAATATATATTGATAAAATTTGGCAAATTTATTTATTTCATACTATACTATTGACGTATGGTCAAAAAACACTTTTTACCTTCCCCGTAGCAGCAAACCTAAGCACTCGTTAAATATAGCCAATGTTATTTATATAGGGAATACTTAAATATGTCTTTTTTATGGAAATATTTTAGTAAAAATGTAATCAGACAAGTTGAAATTCACTTAGTCTGCAGGTTTGCTGCGGCTGGGGTATTTTTTTCAGGGAATTTATTCCATACGGTACCTGCGGTTTTTCTTCCTTTTAGCGAATTTGTCATGGAATAAGCTATTCGTAGGTTGCATAGTAAGACCTAGACCTGGGACCGATTTGATTTCTTGTAGAGGCCAAAACACCCTCCGTTCAAATTCATATATATAAGTAGTTACATACCGTAAGTATCCATATACATTGTGTAACCGTTAGCTCGATAACTAAAGCAATAATGATCACATTTTAATTAAACTAACACTAATTCAAACTAGATTCCAAATCAGCAAAAATCTATGGAATTACTGGATTTGATCAGGGTTTAATAGAGTTAAAATAGGTTTTTCCTTTTTTGACTCTAAAAAAATCAAACGTTCATAGATTTTTGAAAATTGTTTAGGTTTTCCTCGAGCTTGGGGCACTGTGCTGAGCACCTTTTGAACCAGCTGTCAAAGGCTGGCTCTGATAATTTCTCTTTTTATTCCGTCGTCAGTCCTAAAATAGTCAATGGGTGACTAGTTTCGGGTCAGAAATGACCCATTTTTATCAAATTGATTGGTCCAAAATCCGACAGAAGTCTTCGTTATGAGGTACAAACACATGTCGACACATAAAGTTCACACATTTACGACACAAAGCACATTTAATTAAAGTAGCCGGCTACATTTTATAAGAGACACACTGACGCAGGTAGCACGACGGAACTAAGAACGGAACTTTAGTTCCGTCGTGTCCGCCGTGCTACCTGCGTCAGTGTGTCTCTTAAAAAAAATGTAGCCGGCTACTTTCATTAAATGTGCTTTGTGTCGTAAATGTGTGAACTTTATGTGTCGACATGTGTTTGTACCTCATAACGAAGACTTCTGTCGGATTTTGGACCAATCAATTTGATGAAAATGGGTTTGAAAATGGGTCATTTCTGACCCGAAACTAGTCACCCTTTGACTATTTTAGGACTGACGACGGAATAAAAAAGGTACGTAACCTATCATATCATTCTACATCAGTCCTGGTGGCAATAATGTTTAAAAAAAATTGCTCTTTTTAGGCTTCAACCAAAACAACACATGGTTCTTTCTTTTTACCGTTTAGTTTTTGTGTCCAGGTAAATAAATTTTTAAGTAGGCCTAGGCTAAATATTATGATGAGATGGTATGACAAAATTGGATGGTCCAGGTCAAGGTGGTTGTGGCTGGAGTTGAAGGTTCGAACCCAGTGAAGTGTAGCCGGGATGTGGTCATCGTGCCGGACACAAGTCTGGCTGAGGCTGTCAAGAAAGGCCCCTACGATGCTGTCGTGCTCCCAGGCGGTATGGGGTATAAGAAGTTTGCCACAGTGAGTTTTAATGAATTTTAACTTGTTAAGACCACTAAACTTAGCCACTGTCAAAAAAAATGTATTTTTAAAACAATATTTTGAACTTTCACAGAATTACCCCAAAAAAAAAAAAAATTTCCAATTTACATACTTGACAGGTTGTCTGTTTATAACATGCTCGTCTCAGAAGCCCAGCGTTAGTGTTTTTTTAAAGCGGAGTCTCACAGGCCCAGGGTTTCGGTTTGTGTGCTTCTAAGCGGGGCCCATAATTTTCAAATGGGGTCTCATAGACCGGGAGTTTCGGTTCTTAGTGTCAGTATAGGCAGGGTTTCCGTATTAATGTTAACTCTATAGTGGTGTCTTCGGTCTGTGAGTCCGATGACGTAATATTTTCAAGTTCCTTTTCCCCCCGCTAGGGTCCACACTGGTGTCTCCCAGGGGTGACCATAAGGGGGTTTAATGTTGCAACTTGGGACATCAATTTAGTTTACTTTGAGAATTGAATTAAGCTTTTTCAAAGGCTTTGTGTTTACGTTAACTTTGAGAATGAACAAAAAACATGAAGTATTAAGTTTATTTAGGTAAATATCTCAAACTTTTTGAAATAACTTTTACTTTCACTCCCTAAAAGTTAATATGATAAAAGATTTGTCTATGTAAAAATTTTCCAGTTTGAGTTTTGGGTGGATATATATCCGTTTTGGCTCCCCCTGATAAAAAAAAGTTGTTTTCAAAGTGATTTCTGTGTGAGCAGAGAGCACAGAATAGAAATAGAGGGGCTACGTATATCCAGCAAGCATTGCGGGCAGTGAAGCCAATCCCCCACTACTTATACGGGCAAGTGACGGCAACTGCTGCATATAGCAGTAGATCACCTTTTCCAAATGTATGATGATTAGACACACTTAGAGAAGACTTAAAATTACCAAATTTGACACAGCTACTATAAATTAGTGCATCTCGCTGACAGTAAGGTTGGAATACAACAAATAATTTTATTGTAATTTTAACAGCCGCCGAAACCCAAAGAAATTATAAAATTAAGAATTAGAACATGAAAAAGTAAGCGACCTAGAATTTTTTTTATTTTTTGGTCAGGAAAGTTTTGTCAGCGGCAAAGTTTGAGAGCTTGAGTTGAATCATAACATATATTTTTTGGAAAAATTAATGATGAATAGTTTTGGAAATAAATTAGGTAGAAGAGGAAGCAAAATTTGGGACCCGCCGACGCTCGGGGCCTGCCTTGCCACTAACACGTCTCTCCCTACTACGCACACAGTGATTGATGCATACAATATTCATTTTTAATTTATACATTTATAATATAAGCACGGTAACGTTTGTATAGGTAGAGATTATTATTTATGACTCTTGTGTATTATGACTACTAATTGTTTAAACTTGACGAAGTCTATTGTAATTATAGTGTAATTACTGAATGACCAATAAATCTATTCTATTCTATTCTATACATAAAATTGCTATTGATATTAATTTAATTATTACTTTGTGTAATAAATGACGACTAAATCGGTCCTATATTGAACAATTCATTGAAGCCTGTTTACAAAATTTCAATAAGGATATTAAAGCAAATTTATTTTGCTGGGTGAGTTTCACTTTGCTCAAACAACTACAAATCATGTATAAATGGCAATAAATCAATTACACATAGCGATAACACATAAATTTGTTAAGGCTCTAAATGTGAGATAAAAATCAAGACACTACTCTAGGGTTAAGTTTTGGCATTTTGTCAGTCTCAATAGGTACTTAACTAGAGTTGGACCACATTGAAATGAATGTTCTCTGTTTTTAAGTCTACTGAAGTTGGATCAGTGCTCTCAAAACAAGAGGAGACCGGAGGAATAATTGCTGCTATTTGTGCAGGTACTATAAATAAAGCACAAGAATTAGTTTCATTGATTATTTTTAAGTTTAATATCTCTAATATTATGGGTTTCCTTCTAAAAAAAGAAATGTACAGTACTGTAGAACCTTACTAACTCGACAGTCAACCGATGACAGTGCGCACATCTTTCTGACTTTGTCTTAATTAGACTTAAGAATTAGGATTAGACGTTTTAAGAATTTTTTTTAACTTTCAGTTTAAATTGTTGGATAATTGACATTTCTTTGTTGTTTACTCAAGATTGTTTACTTAGTATGTAAAAATACTCATGTAAGCCTGTCATGTACAGAAAACTTCCTATGATCCGGCACGCTTAGTAATCCGCCAAGCTTAGTAATCCGCCAAAACCTTCGGAAAAGATTTGGAAAAGTAATACAGTAGGACCTCGATTAACCCGGGCAAATCAACCGTACTTAATAGATACTTCTAAAATTATGTTTTATAACCTCACTATCCAAGAAAAATGCCAAGACAGTTTTATAAATTGTGTTTCTTTGGTCTCTAATGTGTTGAAATGCATTGTCTATTCAACTATTTCTGTTCGTTATATGCAGTTAGGGTTTTTACATTATTGTTTTGAAACATTACAGTTTATTTTTTCAATTATAATTCATTTTTATAGCCCCAGGATTGCGTAATATGACTAATAATGGTTAAAAACGTACCTTGTCAGACAATCCTTGACATGTTTTATAGTGTCGAAAATAAACTTGCCAGGGACAACACACAAATTTTGAATGAAAAACTCAATTATGAATCCCATTATATTTTCAACACTCTACTCCGTCACTACAATAGTCCTATATCAGCTGTTATAACGCAGACGACAATCCAGAGTCCACGTCTTTCCTCAATAACCTGGTTCTGTCTACTTCCAGTCCTGCCCGCGGCAATGTACGTGCATAAGTTGATAGGCCTATCTGTTACCGTGTATTTAATCGTTTCGTGTTTTGTGTTTGTGTTAAATGTATGTAACAACTCTGACGACACCTCAAGAAGTGGTTCCTTTTGTGTGCCTGACGATGATGGAATTTAATAACCACCGAAACATGTAGCAAGTTTATTTTCGACACTATAAAACATGTCAAGGATTGTCTGACAAGGTACGTTTTTAACCATTATTAGTTATTTTTTCACTAAACATTCTAGGGGGAGGAGGGGAATGAACTTGTAGTCACAAAATCAGGCTAGGCCTACCCTTAAAATCAGCCACACTCGAGTTTCTTCCCTCGAGCGCTCAAAAAAAGCCAAGCCAAAATCCAGGGGTCGATACGAAGCTGTTCACTGTTTTGACTGATTATTAACTTAATTTAATCGAAGGCTCATGGCTCTAGAAATGCTCAGGTAATCCTGCAGACGCTCAGGGGGAGCTATATAACTCATATGTATAAAATCATTATTAAAATGTTTTCACAATTTTGATTAACTTTTGGAAACAGTTCTGTATAACCAATGAGTATTTTATCCTAGCCAATCTGATAAAACTACTCTTATTGAATTTTAAACTATTTGACGAAAGACATGGGTATAACAAAGCAATTTACTAATAAAAAATATAATATAAGAAATCCTACAGAGAGTCTTCAGGGCCTAATTAACCCTCCGAGTGTCCCTTGTTTTGGCCTTAATGTCTGCCTATTTTTTGCTCATTTGCAAGGTTTTATTAAAACGGATCTGAGAAGCTTGAAAACAATGTTAATTATAGGCCTACTGTTCTATATACCATTTTGTTTGGAAAATCATGGGCTTCTATATTATACATAGAACATAAGAAACATTTGTTTCAAAAAAATTTTTTAGGTACGGTAAAAAAAAATATTTTGGAAAAAAAAAATAAGTTTGCGCTCAATGAAATTGTATAAATTATAGGCCTATAAATATTTGAAAATAGCCACTTTGTTCTAAATTTTATGAGGATTACAAATATATAATAATATAAGGAAGTAGATTTGCAAATAAATAAGTTATGGGCAAAAAACAGATTTCAGTACATAGCGTTTAGCTAAGAATGCATAGCCTAACCATAGCTAGGAATCTGGCTGATAATTTACATCAATATCACTACCTACTTCTTCAGGATCATCAACCAGCCCTTCAAAATCACTTAAATCTTCTTATAATGCACCACGTATATCACTACTTTTGATTTTTAACACTAAAACAATGATAAACGTAATAAAACACATCAGTCATCGGTCCGAGGATAACCAAGCTGTTTACAAATACGCACGTCAGCTGTCTGCTACAATATTTTCGGAACTAAAGTGAATAGCGCTTAGAGACAGACCTCCGGAGAAAGCTCTGAATCTGTAAAATAAAACGATACCTAACTCGATCCAGTTCAATCCGATTTTGTCAGTCTTAGAGCCTTCGCCGTAAACAGTGTTATGTGTCGCTGCAGCGACAAATAACACTCGGAGGGTTAATATAATATCCAAACAAAGAATTTAGGGAGATAATATTTAATAAATTTAGATAACTTTTCTTTGTGGTAGTTTGATTTGGGATGCTCCCAAGACTTAATTCTTTCACCCGCAAAGAAAGGGGCTTAGAACTCTGATAGTTTTGGGTATTAAATGGTGAATAAAGGAGAAATAATTTAGACATTAAAAATATACTGTAAATTTACAAAACAAACACGACTGTTAAGGTTTCAGACTAATTAAATAAAATCCAGCTAACTTTAAATTTGTTTAAAAATACTACCCTTTCATTACGGTTCCTGCACTTAACGAAAGGGCTTTTTAAATGAACCCTTAAATATCTAAAAACAACCGAATTGGTTTTGAATTAGGCTAATTTAGAATCTGAACTGCCAACTTATCCTATACTTCTTGAAGATAATCTTCTCCTGATTTTTTTTTTGTAGTTTTGATCACAAACACACCCATAAACAAAACAAGTTGATTGCTATATCGTCATATAAAACCTTTTACACTATAAACATGTTATATAAAAATTACAACGTTAGCACTTTACTTTTAAGGTATGCATATGGTTTGGTTACAGACCACGTTTGTACCGGTGCTGTGAACCGAGAGTCGAATTTTTAGAAACCAGTACTGGCACCGACTTTCTAACAGTTCAGCGGTGTGCGCCAGAACCTATGATAACCACAGCACGGCTGACAGTCTATATTTAATTATTTTTGTCTATGCCTATACTAATGACATTAACATGGTATTATAACATATGGTTTGACAGTTTAAACTAGGTGTACAATGCAGTTGTCTTCTTGCTAGGGATGGACGAGATTGGATTTTTAGTTCGAGACGAGACGAGACGAGATTTTTTATTTCTCATAAAATTTCGAGACGAGATCGAGACGGGATTTCCCTTCTCATACGCAACGGGAAATGCACGTTCAAAATTGTTACCTGATTTTGTAACATTGTTAGATGACTGTTTAAATACAAAAATAATGATAATAGGCAAGAATATTTACAATCTTTTATTAAAAAACATCAGCATAACATTTTTTTATTAATCACGCCTAACTTATTAAAAATGCCTACGATTAGGAAACATAGTGATATCAGTTAGGATAGAGTTCAACTTATCCTAAAATAAAAGCAATATTAATTTTTATAAAATAAATACTTGTTTTGACTTTTTATAGTAATAAAACATTCCTCACACTGCTTACACTAAACAAAACTTCTCAAATGTTATTAAAGTAATATTTACATTTAAAGAATTAATTAAATAAGAACGCCTTCGCATAGGAAACGCAACTACAACACGCTCCTGTATTGCGGGTATTGCATTGACTTTCTGCAGGCGTTTTGAATTTTTTTTATTTTTTATTCTCGTCTCGATAAAAATCTCGGCCAAAAAGAAATCTCGTCTCGTGTAACGAGATTTAAAATTTCCCGAAAATTTCCCGGAATTTCGAGACTTGACCATCCCTACTTCTTGCAATATTGAGCGGAGCCAGCATATTAATTCAATGTCAATGATATATTTGGTTCGCATTTTAAAATAGAATGCCTATTTGCAGTAGGTATCCAAAGTCACTCTTGCAGTAGGTATCCAAAGTCACTCATAAGTCAGGATTAAGTGAATGAATTGTCTACTTGCAGGAACCATATTCTATGTTTCATCTAGTTCTCCTAAATTAAATGTGTTCGCATAAATGGAATGACTATTTACAGAATCTAAAGTCAATGGTACGTCTGGTTCACGTAGACGGATTGTTTACTTGTAGTATCCAAACTCAATGGTACATGTAAATGAATAGTCTACTTGCAGTATCATAAATTAATGGTCCATTTATTTTGTTCACATAAATAAAATGCCTAATTGCAGTATCCGAAGTCAATGGTACGTTTAGGCCTACTTCTGCTTCACTTATATGGGATGTCTATGTGCAGTATTCAAAGTCAATGATACGTCGGGTTCACGTCAACGAATTGTCTAATTGCAGTATCGAAACTATGAGTGTTATATTTGGTTCACATTAATGGAATTCCTATTTGTAGACTGCAAAATTTGCAAAATTTCCTATTTATTACGAATTGCAGTAAGTTACATATTCAAAGTCTACATTAATGGCACGTCTTGCTCACATAAAATACTGTAAAAGTTATTTACAGTACCTATCCAAACGCAATATGGTGCATCAGCCTGATTCCGGCAACCCTTATTATTGGTTATTCATTTTGTAGTAAATTATGCTCAATGCTATTAATAATCCAATTGTTCTTCCCTTTTCCTCTGTACGGTTTGTAGTCAGCTATTTCAGACGATTCGTTGACTAACATAAGTTTCGACTCTTGTTAACCTTTTTATTGTTATCTTGAAAATAATGCCATGGCAACCAACTAACCCATAAGGCCCATGTTAAATTTCTAAAAGTTTAAATTCACGTAGGGAAAAGTCCTGTGGTCTGATTATTACCATTTCAGATTCATACCTTCCTATATGGTTGGTTACTACGACTGTGCTAAATTTCGTGCAGATCGCTTCAGCCGTTCAGGAGGAGTATTTGTAAAACAAAAGCAAGAGTGTAGTATAAGAGCTTCGCTTAGCTCCGCTCAATAATTTCTATACTAGGGTGCATACACAAAGAACGCCGGTTGCCGGCGCCGGCAAACCGGCCGCTGTAAGCGCGTCCCGGCTCGAGAAGAACTTAACATGGTTTCAAGTGTGCCCGTACACAGTAAACGCCGGTGCCGGCTCAACAAGCGCAACAAGCGCGAGCTGCCGGCGTCAACCGTCAAACAAGTATGAAGAGAACATTCTTATAAGCCGGTTCCGGCAACCGGCTCAGTCCGCGAGTGGTCTTTGTACTGTGCAGTTGGTGGGTGTCATAGCGTGATGGTTGATACAGATGATTTAATTTCCAAAGTTTATCAAAAGAAGGCGATTTTTTAACCAAACGTCCTTCAATGTTTCTTAATATGTAATCAAAAGTCGCTAGCTCCATTCTCATGTATGTGTAGAACCGTTGTGGGTCACCTTTTAATTGCAGAAACAAGTGATGGTTTTCACCAAGTTTCTTCCTATGTCTATTAATAACATGAACACCGACTTTCCTCCTTTGCAATAATTTTACATGAACACTCTCCGCCAAAAACACATCATCACTAGACGAAGACATCTTTGACACTGCTCAAAGTGAACTGACTTGTCGCGCTTGTTACCAGCTTTCTTTATGTACGGCTTCAAGCTTTTGCCGCGCTTATAAGCACGAGGAGCAAGCTGCCGGTTTGCTCCCGCCGGCAACCGGCGTTCTTTGTGTACGCACCCATACAAATCAATCATGGTAGGCCTATGCGATACCTGTATTATTAAAAGGCAATGTTTTAATAAACTATATGAAGGAAAAAAAACGATTATTATTATAATATTATTACCTCTTGTATGTAGAATTTGCTTGCTCTATTTTTCTTCAATGTCTTCTTTCTTCATTATTAAATAAAGAATCATTTGTACAGAAGACTTATTTGCATTGAACATTCATAAAACTCAAAACTCACCAATTCAATTACCTCAATAACTGTTTACCAGTATTATTGTTGTGAGGGGTTGGGGTTAGCCACTGGGATCGTGGAAATACCGTAGTTTTAACATATGTTTAAAAGCATTATTGGTTGCCACGCCAGTTACTGGGATTGCGGAACTAAAATATCGTGTCGACGCCGTTGATTAAACAGAGTTGGTGGTGTAGTGGCTAGAGTACTCGACTGACGATCGTGAGATCTCAGGTTCGAATCTCCTCGGCAGCCTTAACATTTTGCTTCTGATTTTGTTGGAATATGATTTTCTCTTAACTTCACTAATTCGTTTTTTTTTATCTGAGCCATTTATAATTTAATTTTGTGATGAGAATGCATTTTTTATAAATACATTAAATTTTTGTTTGTAATAATTTCCTAACAGCGAATAATTGAGATAGGCTAATCGATTCTTAAAATTATCAATTCGTTTAATTATAGGCATATAACTTAGGTCTAGTTTTATTTTGGCGGTTAAAAGTAAGAAATATATTGTCAACCACTTTCCAAATTTCCCTTTTGTGCAATAAAATTTATCAATATGACTATTATGTAGACTAAAAAGAATAAGTGAAAACTTTAGAAATTGGTTTACCGGTACGTTACATTACATTTATAATAACATCAAAATAAGCAGTTTGCTTAACTTGAAACCTTATTTCTCCTAGTAGCTGGAACCTATGCAGTTGATTGTTAAGACAGGTGAACATGTGAATTTGTGCTCCCTTGAATTTCATATATTTCAGTGGTAAATCCCAGTTTTCAAACCATCATTTTGGTATGTAAATGTAGATATATAGGCCCTATATAGATATATATATATATGAAAGAGAGAGAGAGAGAGAGAGCTGCAGTTTATAAATTTAATAAGATCTGCAGCTTTGAATCATATTCTTATTTATAAATTTTTCAGCTCCTTCTGTTCTGAAGACACATAGTATTGCTACTGGTAAAAGCTTAACCTCTTACCCGAGTGTGAAGGGAGAACTAGTGAAAGACTACAAATACAGTGAGGACAAGGTTGTCGTTGATGGTAGGTTTCTCAATTGTGTATTATTGTTAGTAATATTGTTTAATCAAGGTCTAAATATCTTTGTTGAACATTCATTCATTAACCCTTCATTGGTGTCTTTGATTTTAAAGCACGATCGGTGACACACGGGGATTTTTTTCGGGTGTTGAAACATTAGACAAACAATATTATTTATACATTTACTAAGAGATTATAATAAAAACTACTCTGATTGATAGTAAAAACTCAGTTAAAATTAAAACAGGACTTTACTTGTGTTATATTTTTATTTGTCACTCAAATGAGATTCTGACCATTGCTGCTAAGTGTTTTTGTTTTCGCTTTACACAGAAGGGAATATTTTTGCTCTCTGTCTTCTTATACTTTTGTTTTGTATCAACAGCACTACTGATTTTTGTGAATTTTACTAGCAAATTTCCCATTTAATCCTTTTTATTAAATTTGCTTACCAAAAACGTTTCTCCACAGGTAATTTAATCACTAGCAGAGGTCCAGGGACTGCCTTTGATTTTGCCCTGGAGCTGGCCAAACAGTTGACTAACAAGACTAAAGCTGATGAAGTTAAGGCTGGATTGTTGTTGTAAACCAAATGAACCATCTGTGATAATAATATATTTATTCTTTATTAAATATCTGTTTTCAAATCTTTGAACGATTTATTAAAACCCATTTTAAGAACAAGTTTGGTTTCTTTTGATTTACATAAATATCATATTTCTTTTAGGTTATATTCTGATCTGGGTAGGCCTCTCTTTATCTTTTCCTATCTCGCTCTCTCGACATCTTTCTCACTTGATCTCCTTCCTTTCTTCTACACCTTTCATTATCTCATCCATCCACTTGCTTTGATTGGTTTAGCTGTAGCCTAAATACCCCTAACCCTGATATTCAAGTAAAACCCTTCTGCTGATTTTCTAATGTTTAACTAACAAACATACATTAATTTGTCCATAGGGGAAACGATGTTTAAAACCTTTACCAATCTGTCGAAGAAAATAGTATCTATCTATAGCACACTCTGTTGGTTGCCCAATTATACTAATTTCATTTTTTTACCTACTGGCTTAAACTTTAGTAAGGAAATGGAATGTCTACTTCACATAGTGTGTCAATCAATAGCCAAAGTGTAAAGGATTGTTTCTATATTTCAGCGTCAATATTATTGTCTATATTTCAGTGTAAAAGATTGTGTCTATATTTCAGCGTCAATATTATATCTAAGGTAATATAAAATAAAAGTATCATTAAACCTTTGGGCCATTTTTTAAGTGTGTGTGCCTCGTGTTAAGACTGACAGTAAAATGCCATTTTCTTATTTTGTAGTAGCCATTTGTTGGCAGGCTTCGTTGTACTCAACTAAGCAACTGAGACAAAACATAAACTTGTCGAAACAATATGAACATGCCCTTTCCATTGGTTTAACAATCAGCTGTTTGAAAAACAGAAATTGATTTAGGCCTACCAAATGTTTAGTTTTGCATTATTCTTCTTTAATAACCTCATATTTTACAATATAACAGAAAAGAAAAATACAAGAACAGAACAGTAAACAATTTAACACAAGTTAACCAAAAACTCTTTGATTATTAAAACTAAAAACTACGAGTAATAAAGCAATAGTTATTTTTGTAACTAATGTGCAAAGTGGCACATTGCTGCACATAAGAGAAATGTTATGCACGAAGCCGCAGGTGGGTGTGGAAAGTTTCTATAGTGCAGCAAAGGCACTTTACACTCGCCTTACACATTATACTTTGCCTACAGTTACTATAAATCATATAACTAATCAGTCTTTCAAACACTATACACCATGTTTTTAGGTTAGGTTAAATCCAAGCATTGAACGAAATCGGAAACGCTGCAACAGCTGATTGTAGTCGTAGTACCTTTAAGTTTTGCCAACTTATTTTCAAGCGTACACGTATTACATGCCTATTAAATGCACACTGTTTTGTGTTGAAATGCTGGAGTGCGGCAAAAGAAAATGAGTGCCTCAATAGTTATTTGTGTAACTAGTGGGCAAAGTGGCACTTTGCTGCACACAAGAGCAATGTTTGCGGCTCGTGCGGAATGATCTCGAGTGCAGCAAAGGCCTTTTGCACTCGTGTTACACATTATATTTTTCCTAAAGTCACTATAAAGCATATAAATAATTAGTCTTACAAACACTATACAACACGTTTTTAGGTTCAGCTGGCAACACAAATAGGTGCCCTAGAGAAAGTAGTACCCGGTCCGTATCACTCCGCTATTTTTCCTCTGCAAGAAATGTACTCCGCGACTTGAGAATATAGTTCCGTATTTTTTTGTAATTTGAAGTGGTTTCCGCGTCTAAAAAATTCTTTAAAGGTATTTTCTTGTCTATTAAGATCGTAAGAATGTTTTAAAAACGTTTAAAAGAAAAGTCCAGAAAGTTCAGAAATACCGAAACTATAAACACAAAATGACAGGTTAAATCGTAGTTCAATCAGCTGCTCATAGTATATTATCTTTAAGTGTTGCCAACCTATTTCCAAGCGTACACGGATTACGTGCATAATAGAACCATGCTGTTTTATGTTGTTTCGTTGGAATCCTGATGTGCGCTAAAGTATACACCGTACGACAAAGTACCTATAAACCGTACGACAAAGTATAAATATGCAGCAATTAGCAGCTTTCTGTACTATAAACAGTACAAGGAAGCCAACTTTGTCAGGTAACCTGTGGGAAAAACTAATTTAACATTCATAATTACAATTCTAATAGATTTACTACATTTTGATGAAGGGTAGTCGGTAATAAGGGGAGTTTACCCTTTAAATCTGTAATGGTTACAATCCTATCCCGAGGAGATTAATCAATCATGAAACCATCTCTTTTGCTCTCCTCTTCAACCGAATCTCAAACTTTAGCACAAAGTCTTGAGCACAAACTTAACATGAAACAATTTTGCCCTCAATGCAAACCTTAAGCCGAAGCTTGACTCTAGTTCTGTGTTTGTATTTTTTACAAAATCACATGGTAGTTTGATCCGGCTGAGCTCTGTCAGTATCACTCGAGCTCCTAGGGTGGTAGAAGATAGCTGTGACTCTATTGCTGGAGATATTACGGAAGCAGCAAGCTCTGGTGAGATAAAGGTAGCTGAGCAACGCACAGACGAAAATCTTCACCATAAGAGAACCCACACAGACACAGATGAAGTTGACTATCCATTCGGCCATCAAGACAAACCTGACAGGCCAAAGGTGAGCCTCGTCTATTTCCACTGACTGTGAACAAAATTAGAAAACAAAGTGAACAGAAGTGTAGAGACTGTTGTAAAAACAAGGCTCAAACTACTAGCAACGTTTGGTTAGTATGCTCCTCGGCTGCACATTTATCTGATACTAGCAGAGGGGTGAGGTTCATAAAGTCCAAATTTCACAAGGTCCAACGGTTAAAATATTAATAAACAGAGCCTTTCACAAGGTCCAAATTTCATAAGGTCCAAAACTATAACATTCAAATAATCACCGTTTCACAATGTCCAAATTTCACAAGGTCCAACGGTACAGTCTCGGCCAGAAGTCGCTGCAGACGTTGCCGTGGTTCGGTATGTAGGCACTACACGATCTAGTGTTGTTGCCGCTCGTCACAAAACACCATTGTGGGTCCGTAGATACGTTGTAAAGAGTGTAAAGTAATGGTATTTACCCCCCTCTGCAGCAAACCTGCAGACTAATAGAATTGCCATTTCCCTTATTTGATTTACACTAGAATATCTCCTTAAAATTATCATATTTATTCCCTATTTAAATAGTATTAGTTTAACAAGTGCCGTACTTAGGATTGCTGCAACAGGGAGGGTATTTTTTATGGTAATAGTTTAGTATAAAATAAAAACATTTCCAAATTTGATCAAAGTAAATTCATAAGCAAGCAAACCACAAAGCTGGGGTTTTGGCAACCCCGCAATAGAGAAAGTTTCCCACCCCAACAAAGCAAACACTCTCAACCCGCAAAACCAACCTTTCTCAGCAGTAGTAGGTCAGTGAACAAAGACAGTGACGGTACTAGTGTGATCCACCACAACAGGTGTTCGTCGCGCGTCCACGCCCGCGCTCGCGCTCGCGAAGCCGCCGCGACGTAAGCGTACGGTCTGGTGATGTGTATATAAACTGTGTGTATATAAAATGTGTAAATAGATCTTCTCGTCTCCCTGATGATGCCACACACTGTGGCAAAATATATTGCAGTATTTAACATCTTTCTACAAGAACAAAGGCTATAAGGTAACAAATGTTCAATAATCAAATTGCACAGTGTTTATGTTTAAGTTTGTCATCTGGGGTTATTTGTTGTAGAATTTTCAATTTATAAGCTTTCATATTCACATTTTTTTAAATATTCTATGAATGCTAGATTTTGACAAATTTAACTCACGCGCTACACAGCGACTTTCATTTTGGATTTTAGGCCTACCATTACCTTTTAAATGTTGTAAGCTTCAAGTTAACATAAGTTTGTCATACCAGGCTTAAAAGCTGTTCCGTGATGGTGGATGTCAACCATAGCGTCTTCTATAAATGTTTTTTGCAGTGCAATATCTGACTTACTTTGAATGTACCACTTTCTCTCGTGCGTTCATGGTGCCTGATTAATGACAGGGCAATATTTTGAAATTTCAAGTTTCAAGCGACAACAATGAATCAGCTGATAGTTACAATTGATATTGAACAAAACTTTAAGCTCAGTTATCATATGATCACCTTCAAAATAGACTAGGTATGCCTGGACGTATTATATAACAATTTAAAATTGTTCAGTTTATTATTTTTTTTGTTTGGACATGGTGTATTTTGACTCCATTTCAGTGATATGAATCTAGCCTAGGCTGTTTCTCAATTAAGGTACTTCTTGGCATAACCTTTAGAATAGTATCATTTACATATTTGTAATTACTAACAATTAATTATTTCGTTAAATTTAAGGGATCAATCCCCTAAAAGAGATTAATATGTTTACTCTTATTTAATAATCTGTTTCTAATTTTTGAATTATGAATTAAATTGGGGCCAAACCTAAAGCAATGCTATTATTTTTTAATACATTTATAAATCATTCTATTTTTAACAAATGTGTTTTTAAACAATTACCATAGGGTGTAAGGTAAGTTTACTGATGTTGATAAGTATAACTACTATTTAATGCAAAAGAAAAATGTATACTTTACCCATTATCGTTGGTACTTTTTTATGAATTAAGTATAAAATAATCATTTTTTAAAGTCAAGCTATGCTCGTATTATTTAGCTGTCTTAAATGTTATTAACTTTAAATGTGGGTTTCGATTGTTTTTTTTTTAGGATAATACAATAGTGTATCTAAAGTAAAGAAAAATTCTTCACATTTCAACAATGATAGTATTTTGCGCCAGCACCACCTTCACCTAGACCATTCTATTGAGGGTGTGTGGGGTATTCTAATTCTAGGCCAGCATGGCCACAACCACCGGGGGGTTTGGGGGGTATGGAATACCCCTCATTGTGGGAGGGGGGTACGGGGTCCTCCCCCGGAAATTTTTGAAAAATTATACTTACAAAGTCGACATTTTAAGCACTCTGGCGAAGAAAAATGTTAATATCTTGTAATCTGAATGGAGAGTTTAAGTGCACAACTTCCTTTTTTCATTTGATAACACTTTTTCTGTTCTTACTGGCCCTGTAATTTCATATGTATATTTTTAAATGTTTTGTTTCATAATGTCGACGCACATTGTATTCCTTTTTAGTGGTGTTAAAAAACGACCATCAATCTTACTTTGCCTAAATAAACTATAACAAAATATGTTAAGGTTCAAACTAACTACACAGTAATAAGCACTGTCTTTAGAAAAAAACCATATAAATTTGAAATCTTTATGTTAAAAAATAAGTGTAGCAGAGCAGGTTGAAAGAATGTATGTTTTTGTAAAAGAGAGAGATTCATTCGACCCGCCTGCCTCAGTATCCCACTATTTCGAATGGTGGGCACGGCCCGGTTTTCCACCACATACGCGCCAGTATCCAGGGGGAGTATTAGATTAAGCATAATATAATATAGATGGTTATAATGGTTATGGTTTTAATATAGATGGTATCTGTACGACATTTTTCAGCCGGATGGGTGCGCGTGCGACACTGCGACGTTGTTGATGTATACACTTGAACGCACATGTCTACATGAGTGAATACTCTGTAGAAACGTCAGTGTGGTAGTCAGGTAGACATCAGCAACGTCACACTCGTAGTACTCTAATGGCGGTTGCTCAATCTTGAGTCTAGACTAACCTAGCTTAGAAAACAGCTAAGCAAAGCTTAAGGCGGTCGACACACGGGAAGACTGAAACCCAACTAAAGTTGAACCAACTTTTTTGTGACGTGATTACGATTGCAGTTGCGTTGGTTAAATCCGCACACGGACGCGACTGTAGTTGAGTTGAGACAGTAAATGAGTTCTAATTTTGTTATAACGATACTGTGTACTGTGTATGGTGTTTGAAATGAGTGGTAGTGATTAAGAAGCCCTGGTGTTTTATAGACAATCAAGAACGTAGAAGGTATTGGGTACATCCTTATGTTCAAACAAATATTAAATGTAGGCTCTTTGTAGCTGCCGCTGCATTAAAAGAAACAGATGCAAAATTTCAGTCTATGAACAGGATGTCAAAAAGTACTTACGAAGAGTTATCGCAGTTGGTATACCCGATCTTTGAGAAGCGCAATACAAATATGCGAAAAGTTGTTCAAACCAGGCGACTGAAATCACCTAGCAACCGGCAGGTCCGGTTGCTTAACGACTGATCGCCGACTGGTCGCATCGCAGTCGCACCGTGTGCACTGTCCCACCTAACTACATTGGTCGGGACGCTGGTGACTAGTTTGTCCAACTAGTTGCCGATTTCAGTTGGAAAACAGTCTTCCCGTGTGTCGACGGCCTAAGCCTTAAACGCTTCCTTTACTTACCATTATAATTTTCTCATATGCTTGTGCTTAAGTGGAGGAATGCATATAGGTCCAATCTTGTAAAACTGTGTTACTAACAAATAAACCGTAACAAAACAAATACTCAACTGACTACTGAGCCACTAGTGGGTAGTAGGAGGTACTGTATGACTGACGTGACGAAGGCATAGGATGGTGGGAAACGGGGATATGTGCGGCAATTTGTAAGACATTTTTTAAAATTAAAGCTTGAATTAAAAAAATAAAAATTCCTGATTCTCGGGGGGAGGGGGAGCCATGGCCCCTATGGCCTCCTCTCTGGAACCGCCACTGGTGAGTGGCGTGTTATAGTCAGTCAACATTTTTCCAGAGCTTTTGTTAAACCCGGTAAAGAGCAAGTGTGGCGGTTGGACTTGGCTAGCTGACAAGCTATGTAGACACTCATATGTTCCATAAAGTTGTACTAACCTCTTCAAGCCACATTAGAGGGAAGATTCCTTCGGTGACATTCTCAACAAAGCTGAAGCCCTTAATCCTCTTGAGTGGCATGTTGAACTGAATCCTCTTAGCTGCTTTTACTGGTACACCAGATCGCTGGACACACAGATTTAATTTTATCACTCAGCTACTATGTTTAGCATATAAGCCTTGAATTTGGTTTAAAATATCTAATAAGAGAACCTACCAGAGTAACACCATTGTCTAAAACATGTATTGATAATATCTTTGTAAGCAATAGTTTGTACATAAGTAACCATAGTCACTGTGGTATTAGATCCAGTGTATCAGACCACTATGCAATTTCAATTAGGTACCATTATGTTAAAAACCAAAATAACAAACAGCACAAAAATTGTAAAAAAAAGAATTATTGATACCATAAATACAAACACTTTTATTTACCACTTAAACAATGAGTCATGGAATTGTGTATTAGGTAGTCAAACAGCCAATGAGATGTTTAATAGATTTTTTGCAGTTTTTCCTACTATTATGATCTGAGTTTTCCTTTAATAACAAAGAAATTAAACATAAATAAAAACAAGAATACAAGTTATTTCTGGAAAAGTAAAAAGATTTTAGATGCAAAAAATATGTTATTTTTTTTTAATCTGTGATAGCTAGTACATCCTGTGGTTCTGACATTAAAAGGCTTTACAACTACCACAAGTCGTGCTACAGTAATCTGCTTATCGAGGCTAGAAAAGAACATTTTAACTCTAGAATTAGAGAGTCAAACAATATTAGTAAAACCATATGGAACCTTATTAATACAGACCTTGGCAGAAAATGTAATTTGAAACCAAACATAAGTTTGAAAATAAAGGAATCAGTGATACAAAACCCTGAAATTATTGTAAACGAATTTAGTAATTTTTTTTGTTCTCAAACATGGCTAGGAGCTTTGATAAATTGAAATATAAGTTTTTAGGATCTAGAGTTTTAGAAAGTATATACCTAGAACCTAGAACCAACTAATGAGAGGGAAATCTTGAATATTGTTAAACATTTAAGAAACACTAAGAAACGCTGTAAATTAACATACTTGTAAAAGGTTTAATTTAAATTTATTTTTTTCTGTAATACACATTCTATTTGGTGCTTGAATGAAAACACAAAAGTTAAAATAACTATCATTAATTAATGGAATAAGTTGCCGTATATTTAAAAACGTGCTGTAAGTCAGACATAATGCATTTGTAAAGTTTACTTTTTATTGATTAATCAATATAAGGTTTAGAACATAGTTATTTTCCCTATGAATGTCACTTCCCACTCTGATACGTTGGCCTGGCAATTAAAACCCCCTTTTCCTACATTTCTTGGAGGCTGCACTAAAACTATAAAACCATAAACTATGACTTATGTTTATTTTCATAATGGTTTTGGTATGGAATTCTCGTTTGTATAATATGTTAAAGTCCCAGCATGAAAAGTACCATTAAGAACTTTAACAAGTTTCAGTTTTTTTCTTGACTAGTAAAATGTTAATGTTCTACACAAGTCTAATAACCAATCACAAGCTAGCCATTAACTTGGATGTTAGGACTGTACTTAACAATAAGCTGCCTGAAAGGTGGATCGGGCGCGGTGGTACGATAGACATTTCTGAACTGGCCTCTAAGATCTCTCCATTAACGATTTTTTCTTGTTTTTGTATTTTGTGTTTTGTTTTTTTTCGATTGACCTTATACACGATACCATTACCAGATAGCATACCTGGGATCCGGCAATGGACTACTAACGCTATAGAAACATTGGACACCCTTATCAAAGTATAGCAAAGGCTGGACTATAGTATTGACATCTGTCGTATCCAAAGTGGTTCTCATATCAAACATTAGTCTTGTGAATCTGGAAGGAAACTTCAAATGTTTTCATGTGATCAATAATGTTTTTCGTAACAGTTTTATGTCTTTGTATAACAGATAAAACTGTATTTTAAGGCTAGTACTCACTAGGACACCCGGTCGCTTATCAACCGGCGATCTGGTTGACGAGCGACCAAATTGCACAAATATCGCCGTGTGTGTACGCGTCTGTCAATTTGGTTGACGGCGATTTGTAGGTTGCCAGGCAACTTTTTGGTTTTCGGACATGTATCGAAAACCTGGGGGTTTCCGATCAACCATTTTATCGCCAGGCAATCAGATTTCTCAAAAAACTAGAGTGTGTACGCTTCAGCGACCAAGTTGATCAACTAAAGACGGCTAGCGCATGCGCAGTACAACGAAAAATGAACTGCCGAAACAAACCCATGCTAAAATCTCAATCTGACGTCCTTTTTTTCTATGTGAGGTGCCACGGGTGTCACTGGTTGCTTAGTATGACGGAAACTGTCATCTGACATATGTAAATAGTTCTTAAAATCCTGTGGATTTTTAAGTCGAAAAGCTCGTAGGAGTGCCGATGTGGCTGGCTGTAACTATTTCTACTTTAAAGCCACCCTTTAACCCTAAATCTTCTAAACAATTTCTTTCTTCTTCTCTACTTCCAACAGTTTTTAATACTATAATCAAAACTTCAGCAGCTATTTCCTCTCCGTCGGGGGCATGGTGTTGTCATTTAGGTTCACACTTTGATAGGCTTAAGCGTGAACCAGAACAAAACAAATTGTCTATCCCCACCAAATTTTGATTGATTTCCAGCTTGGTTGAAAGTGCTAGGTATCCTAGTGTGTACCACCCAGCAATAAAACGTTCAATCATCAACTTAGTCGCTCGTCAATTAGGTCGCCGGTTGATAAGCGACCGGGTGTCCTAGTGAGTACTAGCCTTTAGGTTCGCCTGAAATCATGAACATCATTTGTAATAACCCTGTATAATACCAACCGGTTCAAGATACACCATGCTTAGATGTTTATCTGGGTCGGGTGAGCAGCCTTGTGCGTAATCTCTAAATTCAGCTTCTCCTTGGTAGAAATGAGGATGTGAGATTACTATAGGAGCGTCTGCAACCAAGAAAGCAGGAAAGTTTGTAAGAGTTCCCCTATTATTTTATAAATTAAAATCCTTATCCTTATATAAATTAAAACAACTATAAACGTCTGTATTCAGACTAAAATTCATGCATATTAATACACATATAATCTGTATTTTAATCTTTAGAGTGCTTTTCAAAGTGTATTTTCAAATTCTTTAAATGCCAACACATACCAAAACAGTCTTATAAGCTATGGACATTCTCTAATGTGCCAGGCAACCAAATAAATTAAAATGGTCTATTTATACTGTTACTGTTGATATTTGGATTGGGTTATTTTTTTTATGAAAGATTGGAAAATACATTTTGAAATTTAGAAAGCGCTTCTACCTACCTTAAAATTTACATTCTTTTGTCTTACTAAGTTTTAATGGTATGTGGAATGTAGGACCAAGAGAATGGAATCCATGTATTTTATTAAAAGAATTTGTTGGATTTTTATATCTAGCAAATCAACCTATTAATTTTATAGACATATTAGGACATTGGGTGGGTATCAAGTTAAGCTCGTATTCTCTAGATGTGTCCTTAGGCCATTATTGTTCATTAGGCCAACTAATTTATACTTAATAGGTTTATAGCAGCATAGGTCGAGTTTGGTATCAAATTAGAGGTTTTATTTAGTAAAATACATTGCTACAAACTCTAACTCAAACGGACAACAGAGTCAAAAATGGCATCCGTTCAAATATTTCTCAAATCTGCCATTTTTTACCCAGCTGTTATTTTGAGCTCAAATTTACAGCACTGTAAAGACCTTTAATCTGATGGATATCAATAATCAACCAATGAGTGAAAATTTAAAAACGTACGTTTTCAAGAAAAGCTTGTTACAATAATTTTTTCTCTTTTTCAGAACTTTTTTTATTTTTTTTTATTTCATTGCCATTTGAAGTTTTATAAAATGTATGGTAACGCAATACCTTTGGTGGTTTTTTATTAATACAGCAAATCGGAAAAACACAAAATTTTGTCACAACCATAACGAATGTAAAAATGAATATTAAAAATAGTTAATGGAATTTTTATAAATATGTTTTGCTGTAAATAGATTTAGTTTTAAGGCTATTTTGCAATAAAAAGCTCACTAAGCTGTTGGTATATTTGGTATTTCTTAAAAAAATCTAAAACTAAAAAAATCTAAAAGAAAGCTGATAAAAATCTTTTTAAGTTTGTATAGCTCCGAACAAACCTTCCCGATATATGAAAAACCTCTATGTTTTTTAAAGAGGCGTCCTTATTGTGTGCATAAAACATTGGAATATGATGATATACCGGTATCAATTTTTGAATTTTTTATGATCCAAAATCATCAACATTGTGGTCAGGGACAAGTGTTACGGTCTGGAGTTGGTGATTAACGAGAATCACTATATTGTTTATTTAGGGTTTCCTTCCACTACTCTTATTACTATAATATTCCACAAGACTTGATAAACCATAGTTAATTTTTAAAATGTAATAGTTTTACACATAACTCCTATACATAAGCTTTAACTTATATGAGGCAATAAAGATACCTGTCTATGTAAAAATAGTTAAAAATCTAATTTTTTTAATTCTTCAATTAGGCCTAATTATACTGTTATAAGAACAGTTTGTGTTGCAATTAAACTAAACTGTGCAATTTACAAAGTTTAACATTTATTTTCACGACCATAACACAGTACAATTCATAAAGCTAATTTGGTCGTGAAAAAATATGTGATGGTCATGATGCCCTGGTCGTGAAATCACGTATTATTTGGCTCTGTTATGGTGGCAGCCTTACACCTCATGTTTGAGGAGGCAAAGTGGATTTCTAGGTTAACGTAGCAATTAAAATATCATATCAACAAAAATTAAATTAATTAAATCTAATGTTATTTAAATGGGGAATAAATATGTCTTATTCATGGAAATATTTGAGAAAAAATGTAATGTAAAAATGTAAGCGAGTGGAAATTCGCTTAGTCTGCAGGTTTGCTGTTCCGGGGGTATTTAAATATTTGTAATATAGTAAAATTTTTCTATTTTATTTCATTGCACCTTCCAATTTAGCTTGAAAAACAATTAAGTATTTTGATTTATTTAGTATTGATTTTTGGTATTGAGAGTTCAACAAAAACAGTTTAACAATTTAACAGGTTACAACTGATTTTTGGTTTGCTAAACTATTTTTTACTATAGTAGTATTAATAATCGTGTTAAGCCTTATTTCCATTTGAAATTATAATAAAAAACGATCATAAACTGTTTAAAAATGGTGGCCATTTAAAATACTTGATGCCAAATTTCACAAAAACCGTGAATTTTTCCAAAAAATTGCAAGTGACAAAAAAGTTTTTTAAGTTTAATGCCGTTTTCAATGATACCTTATTTATTTGTGAAGAATAGATCAATAATAACAGAAAAATGTGTTCTTTTGTTATGCATGACCGCTTTTCTCCATTTAAACAATGCTAATACTCCTTTTGCATTGTCTAAATATCTTTATAATCATCTGTTATACTGGGTGGCTGAAAAGTAACTTACACCCCCCCTTAACTTTTCAACCATTTGAGATATTTGAAATCTGTTTGTGGCAAACTTCTTAGCTATGAGAGGCTACAATAGTTATGGCCGATTTTGAAAATTTTGCCCTTAGGGGGTAGCTCAACATTTTCAAACGACAAGTATAGTCGAGTTTGGTATCATTTTACAGGTCTTAATAAAACATAACAATTGACATAAAGAAAACCAAAATCGGCCCACTAATAACAAAATGGTGCCCTAAAACATTTCAAATCCAAATAAACATCCAGCAAAAAATGATGAAACTTTGTTCAAACGTGTAAACATACATTCATTCAATGAGTTAGCGAACCAGCATAATCGGACTTTGGGGACCCCCCGTCCCCAATATTTTATAATATTTATAATATTTTATAATATTTTAAAAATATTATGGGGTTAAAAATGGATTTTCTTTTTTTTTGACCCTAAAAACACAAAAAAATCATAATTTCTCTCCAAACCATTTTGTAGAGCTTAATAAAAGAAACAATTTTGTATATTGAAGCGTTTTTTATGCCCAATGGTTACGGAGATAATTTAAAAAGTTCTAAATTTAAAATTTCTATGTTATTCTTATGGAGAATAAATAAACTGTTGTAGTTTGCTTGTTTAGTAATATATTTTATCCAAATTTGGAAATTTTGTTCATTTCATACTAAGCTATCAACATTGCAATATAAAACACGCCTTGATATCTTCCCGGTTGCAGCAAACCTAAGTACTCACTAAAATTAATGTAAAAATTGATGTTATTTAAATAAGAAATTAAATCTGACAAATTTTTTGGGAATATTTTAGTAGAAATCCATAAATAGAAATTCGCTCAGTCTGCAGGTTTCCTGCGGCGGGGGCATTTTGAAATTACTTATGGCAGTGCAAGAGGAGCGACGAGATTGTATGCAGAACATTATCCAAACTGGCAGTGTCCTAACCATAAGACACTAGTAAACACGTTGCTCGAAATCGAGCAATTGCAAAGGAGTAAAGTACTTATTTAAAAACAAATAAGAGTCATCATAATTTCCGAAGAGTTGAAAAGACTTTGAATCGAAATAGTTATTTGTGCAACTAGTGAGAAAAGTGAGCAATTGACTCAGTCGAGAGAAATCCTTACTCCTTACTTATAAGTGCGGGAATGGTTTCTCGAGTGAGGCAATTGTACTTTGAACTCGAGTTGCACATTATACTTTTCCTACAGTTACCATAAAACAAATAAATTTGTGAAGAAACATAACCTATTTTTACACAGAAGTGAACTTTTAATATAACATTTAATGTGAAGTGACAAATACAACAGTATAACAGCTGACCAGCTGATTTACAGCCAGTGCTGCCAACGTATTTCGCGTGCATACGACGTTGCCTGCATGTTACGCGCTCACTATTTCGTGCCTTCACGTTGCAAATCTGGAGTGAGACAAAGTAATTAGAGTGAGACAATGTTAAAATTGTCTCACTGATGAGCGAATTGGCCACTTTGCTTTCTCAAATCAGTGAGAGAACATGTACATTTTTAGGTAACTGTAGGAAAAATAAATAACAGTAATTAAATTATACAGCTGATCAAAATGTAAACAATTATGTTCTTGATAAGGATAACATGGGAACTTTCAAAGCCACTGGGGCAGAGCCCAAGCGACTTTTTCAAAAATGTAAGGCCAGTTTGCAAATGATACAAATGTCAATGGATAAAATCGGTTAAGAAATGGCGGAGGAGTTCAACTGACAAAGTTTCATGTAGCGTATTAATTATATAGATTCGGTGTTCAGATTACAATACTTTTATAAACTAGGTGAATCCCGTCAAAATCAACGGTTACTCTTGAGTTTTTAGGTAAATTCAGCTAACTGCGATGGATAGAGTGAAGTTATTAAAATCTAAGTAAAATGAAGGGAGGATGAACATAATTATCAGTAAGAGGATTGTGTACCTTAAAAAACGCGGTTAATGAATTCGTTGGAATCAATATTTTCCGTCCTTTCATCGCCTTTAGGTTACCCAAAAGGCTTTTCAGGGGTCTTACAATTGATTCTTGTTCATGACTTTAGTTCATGTTAACACCTCTTTCACTATATGGGGAAAGAAGTTCACATAATTGGTCTGTCATCTGACGGAAAGAGTCAATATTACTAAAATAACTGGTTCCATCTGCTTTAGGAAAATCATTCAGATTGTATTTGGATTGTATAAGTGAATCACCATGTTTGGTCATAAAAATATGGAATTTTATCCGCGGGAGGCATATTAAATCTGTTTTTTTTATTTGATGAAAATATCTGATTCTCCAAAAAGCAGTAACATTCTTACTTCGATGGAGGTCCAAACAATTTTGATTCCTTCTCTTGCCACATTGACCAATGTATTTAATCTAAATGTACTTATTCGCTAATTGATTAACTTCTGGCGTAGTTTTGTGAAATTGTGCCATGAAGTTTGGACACAAATCTTGAACATTTGCGGAACCACATCCATAACCTAGTTCGGCTTTGTTGGCAACAAATTATGCAAAAGAGATGAGATGTGATGGCACTGTTTTATTTAATTAATACCTGAATTGCCTTCAATTCACCTACTTCACCAAAACCATAGATTAAACATACTCCGTGGTAAAAACTTGAACACAGCTCACATCCTCAACGTACTCATCTACACTTGCATGGCTTTTGACACAATTTTCTACCTGATTATTGAAAACTTTTATGCTAATAATCTCACAAACCTCTGATGTTCTTTCTTGAATGTAATGATAAATGGTTATTGAAAGTAGACCAAAAAAGGCAAGCACCAACCCCTACAATAAATATAAGCTAATCCAATAAGGAATAATTATCTGTTCCTTTGAAATTGATATGTCCCAGTGATTTCATAATACAACATTTTATAAGTGCATTAAAACATAGATTTTTGAAAAAAAAAATTAAAAATAAAACGTACCTATTATAAATATTCATCATTTTATTCAAACTATAAAAAACTTGCCATGCAGTGGAAAATCAATTTTAAAATCATAATTAATAATGTAAACATTTAATTTTGCGAATTAAGTAAATGCTCATAACAGCTGGCTCATTAAAAGTATAGTGTAAAATTATCCATATGGCCAAAATTGTAAACAAATCTGCTGAGGGAACTTTAAAAGCCTCTGGGGCGGAGCTCCAAGGGAATTTACCTAGTTTCTCTTTTGATGGCTCATCTACAGACCAAGATCTCTTAGGACACCCCTACCAAGTTTCTACGCCCAGCCGTTCTCTGTAATTAGCTGTGACAAAAACCCCGTTTTTCCTCCATAAGAATAACATGGGATGGGAATTCAAAGGCCACTGGGGCAGAGCCTCAAGGGAATTTACCACGTTTATTTTTTGATGGCTCATCTACAGACCAAGACCTTTCTTTAGACACCTCTACCGAGTTTCTACGCCCAGCCGTTCTCTCAAATTAGCTGTCACAAAGAAAATCAGTTTCAAATTAATATAGATAACTCGTTTACGTATAAGCCGATTGTGACTGTAGCTACATATTTGCCGATGCTTGATGTGAAATCTGTGTGTGCATACCTTCAATTTGAGACCTAAATCTTGAAAATCGGTCGGGTAGAAGAGCCAATAGAACTTGAAAAAGAAAAACCAAATTTAAGTCATATAATTCTTTTCATAAAATACATAGATTCCATTCTCTTGGTACCACATTCCACATACCATTAAAACCTATAGAAAGACAAAAGAATGTAAGAAACTCAAATCAGCACCTGAAGATGCCACACTTGTGGTGAAATGTACATCGAGCTTATGCTTTGCATGAGCAAATGCAAACATTTTCATTATTAAATAGAAAATGATGACATAAAGGATATGGGCAGTGTTTTGTATTAATTTTGTCAGACTAGTAAGATAGGCGTTTTAAATAGGTTGTAAAAAAACTAACAACAAACTTTACTTCCTGATAACTTCAAATCTGTTTCATAACACGTACTTCACAACTGACTTTCTTTTTGCACTAATTACTTTTGTGAACATTTTATTTTGTTAACCAAAGTATAATTTTGAACAGCTACGATATTTAACTTACTCATGCATTGACTTATGTCCCTAACGCCATTCTTGAAGCAATACCTCTCGTTTTCTTCCATACAGTAACATTCATTGTCAGGATTTTCATCTTTGCTGTCCAGCCAATCTGTCACTGAGAATTTGTACACTTCTATTCCATGAGTAACGGATTCTTCTTGATAGTAAATTGGCAACACTCTGGAAAATGGAAAAATATCGGTAATGATTTGTCATTGAACAGGCTGAATCTATATAAAAATCTGAGTTTCAAAACATTACACTTTATGATGATGTATCAAAGGAAATCTGACATGCTCAAATAATAGTTTTTTTCAGTATGCTTAGTCATGTTGAATGCAAGCACATAAATATATTGATATTGAGACGGTTGAGTACTGTGAAATTCTAAATCCCACACCTCCTGCAAAGCTTGTTATGAAACAAATCTACCACAAGCTGAGCACCAGTCTTTTTCATATTTCATTCTATAACTGTAACTGTATGTTTGGTATTGGAGATATCACAGAGATTTAAAAACCTTAAGGGGATCCGCCACCACTAAACCTCATTTTCTTATTTAAGCTAATATTTTCATTTTTTCATTTTATACTAAGCTATGAGGGAAAAAAACACTTTATTACCTTCCCTCTAGAGCAAACCTATAGGTTAGGTACTCTTTATACCTTATGTTATTTAAATAGGGAATGAATCTATCCTTTTTAAGGATATGATTTAGTGAATAATATCCAATTAAGTAAACGGAAATTTGCTCAGTTTACAGGTTTGCTTCGGCCGGAGTATTTTTTCCTTTATTTTTTCCGTAGTTACTTAAGTTTAGCTTATGAACCTTTGATTTGGATTTTCAGCTCTAAACAGGAGTTTAAGAACAAGTGCAATGTGTTACGAGGATTCAAAAATGGAAATAACTATATTTTTAAATTATAAAGCTCCGTTCCGATAGTCCTATCATGACGTTTCATAACTGCATGGTTTACTTCATACACCACAGATAATTCACATTGGAACTCAATCGACGCTCATTTGTTTTTTGTCATCTTTCACACGAGTTGTGTTGAGTGTGTCTGAAAATCTGTGTCTTTACTACAAACTGAGACATGCCACGCAGCACACACATTTAGTTGCAGAGATCACAGCTGGTTAGTTGTCAAGATGGCTGAAAGTACCTACTACTCCGAGTCCGACAAGGAAATTGAGGAATTGGTTCGTCTATATTGTGTTTTGTGCTTGTACCCAAGCTGTGTCGCATGCGTCAAAAACTGTGAAATGCCGGCCCACGCATGTGTCAGACACATACACGCGTGCGTCTCAGCTTAGTCGTAAGATAACATGACGGCACAGTTTTCTGCCTTGTGCTGCGTTGAATGCGTTGCGCCGCGTGCGTCTCAGCATACGCCCGGCCTTATAGCTGTTAATCCGTTGGCAAATATATAAATAAATAAATACACAGGCCACAAAACATGTAACATGTAACGTTAACAACGTAAAGCTTTAAAAACTCACCATGGTTTGCAAAAAAAAAACTTTCACTTGATGTGGTGTAGTACGGAAGTAAGTTTTTGAAAATCAAAGTTATTTTCCATTAATAGCATTATTTGTAAGCAACTTTTAATGTTAAAATATTAATAACAGTTTGAGGAAACCACCTTTATCCAAACAAAGATTTCTTATTTAAAAGATTACGTAATCTCTAAACCATAATTGGTACATATATCTAGCAAACACTCGGAGAAAATGTGACAAAAAACGCACAAATCTGGGGTTTTGGACCTTTGTAGTTTTACTTCCTTAGGAAAAGTACTGATATCGTTGTCGAAATGTTAGTAAGTAGAAACCAAAAGTGATACATTGGAAAAGCAAGTATAGCTACATCTGTAAGTTAAACACCTCTGTTACGATCACAGCCAATTCATAAAGATCTTCCAAGATCGCAGCAACATCCATGATCACCTGCTGCAGTTGTGATTTTTTACTTTGCAGTTTACACAACTGTCCTTGAAACACCGTCAATGAGTGGTGACGATTATTTAAAAAATGCAAGTTTACCAGCACTATACACCACTGATTCACGGTCTTTTCCCCAGTTATAAAAACTCAATAACAATCGTTGCGCTTGCGATTAATTAAATCGTTTAAGTACGTTTTTAATCTCACTTGGTTTTCATGTGCTAAAACTTGATCAGAAATGGTTGCGGTATTTGTAAACACATATCAGTGACAGCTAGAAGAGAGAACTAATCCAAACAGCTGATCGTTATTTCATAAAATGTAATAGTTAACATTGGTAGAAAATTTGACAAAAATCTATCAAAATTGGGTTTTTGATGGTCCGTTATTTTGTTTTCAAAGAAGCGAGGCCATGTTTTTATTGCCAAAGACACTCTCACCAATCCATTTATACAGAAAAATGATTAGAACCTTGATCGGTACTCTAGTTTTCTAGGAGTAGTCCGCGTAAAATGACATTTTGGCGTCACAGACGGAATGACATAATGGACAAACAGACAAACAGACAGACAGACAGAAATTGAGATAAGACTCGTTTCGGCTTTCTTAGGCTATGAAACGTAAAAATAACCAAAAACTGCATGATTCTAAGCAATATACAGACAAAACTAATTTTATTTATAGATTGGCATATCATATACCAGTATTTTTTGTTTCCTGTTTTTGGTTTAGTTCAAATGTTGAACATTGATGATCAGTCTCTTATTGACGTCACGTTAGTGGATAGATAAATTGATAAATTCACTGCTATTTTGCAATATCCCATATGTTTTAGGTAAATAAACTGGCTGTTTGTCAGATTGTAAATGGTAAGATTTTAGTACAATATCCACCACTGTGACGTAGTGTTGTGCTGCCCGCGCTGCAGCATGGGCTGTTTTTCTAGTGGGGCCTTGCTCTTATCCACCTATTTATTCTATAATATTGGAATTTAATTACATCAAAGAGATCTTTTTAAACAACTGTTCTCAAAATTCTTCAATAAAAATAGCTGTTTACATATGTTTATTACAGAAGCTCCAATTAATTATTGGAAGAAAATTAATGTAATTTTGAAACAGGTGTGAAAATGCATTGACAACATCTAAGGTTTTGGTTTCATAGTGCAATGAGACATAACTTAACTACATTTTTAGTTATATAACCCCTAACAAGCAGTTAAAGTTAAGTTTAATAGGTGGATAAGACTTGAGTATATACTGCAATATAACTTTACTGGCAAATGTCGGGAATGTAGATTTCGATCTTGTCAGCTTTTGATACAAAAGGGGCAAAGTTCAAGGTGTCCGTCCCCCTCAGTCGATCACACTGAGAGTTAGGTTGCCATATGTTTAGTAGGGACTGGTTCTTCAGTTTGACAAGTTGAGCAATCTGGCGAATATCTTCCACTCCCCTGATCTCTTCATAAGGCCCCATCTCTGTAGCATTTTTCTGTAAAAGATAAAAAAGATAGTATGCAAATTACAAGTTGCAAAAGTGCTAGTTTAAAGATTTAAAAAGTTTGACACCTTTATTAATATTAATTAAATTTGATCATACTTTAGCCTCAATTCTTTGGTTGTAATCAGAATCCATTGATGATTCCAGCTTTGTTTAACTATTTTGTCAGCTGAAGATTACTGCTGGAGGGAGGTTTTGCTCTCTTCCAGACAAAAAGGCAACTTCAGTGGCTAACTCTCTATTGGTTAATTCTTTAAAGTGAATGCAAAACGTCTGGCAGCAATCTTTAATACAAAAGACGTGATTGTCGTTGAAAATCTCTTTGTGTTCTTTAATCTTTCTTTGTTCAAAAAGTTAGATCAGTATATGAGTGAAAATTTAAAAACATATGTTTTCAAGAAAAGCACTTTATAAAACTAAATTTTTTTTTCAAAACTTTTTTATTTTTTTTTTATTTTATTGACATGGTAACACAATCTTTGGTAGTATTTAGCCAATTTCCCACATATGGAATAAGTTATTACGGTAGTACTCATGGTAATACCTGCTGGACCCGGGACGGATTTACTTTTTAGTTTTGAGGTCCCTAGAGGCCAAAAACACCATCCTAGAGGTCGTGCGGAACGAGGTGAAGCCTGAGATTTTTGGCAGGAACGGTCTAAAGCGGGGAAATCCATGGTGGGGGTAGGAGACGAGCCGATCGTCGCCTTGAATAGCGACACTTCCCCCGCCACACCACTATTCCCCTCCAAGCTTCACCTCGTTCCGTACGACCTCTACCAATTCATATATATAGAGTACAGTAGACTCCCTCCTATCCGGACTCCTCGGGACCGAGGCCAGTCCGGATAACGGTTTTTCCGGTTAAACCGATGTCCCCAAAAATTATAGTTATAATTATAATTATAAACTTTTGGAATCAGCTATGACCACAGAAAGTGCCACATTCTAATCAAAAAGTCCAGTTTTTACCCAGATATGGCCATGTAAACAACGTACTAAAAGGCTAATACTGTAATAGTCAATGGAATTACTTTGGCCATGAATAACAAACTCAAATCAATTATAGAAGAGGTGAAAGATATTTTTACATTCAACCCAAAGTTATTCATAGATGATTGATATGCGCAAGAGAGAATTTAGAAAATACAGATCCCTTGACTCCATCTGTGGTCAAAGTACTGGACTCGCAGTTTGGAGGGCATCCCCCCTCCCCCCTCCCCCGAATGAATGCGGGGTCCCTGGGCCGTCCCTTAGGAAAATGTGCAAATGCAAAATGGTGATTTAAAATGAATATCATTAAAATCAGTTATACGTCTCGTGCGATTGTGGATGAATTTTAAATCTCCCAAGATTGTGGTAAAATCGTGTGAACTTCTTCAAAGGTCGTGAATTATGATGAAAGCCTGATCACCTCCTGTGATTGTTATTCAGTTATGAGACGATGGGGATCTTTACCACACTTGAAAATTTAAAACTACAAAACTGAACTTATGATTGTTATGACTTCTCTACTATTGTTACTATCATATGTGTTTATATTGTTTAGTTGCACCATCCAGCTCCAATACCATACATCTTATATCTATATAAATAAAATTAGAGTTTTGTCTGTACATTGCTTAGAATAATGAACTTTTTGGTTATTTTTACATTTCATAGGTCAGAGAAACCGAATCAAACCTTATCTCAATTTCTGTCTGTCTGTCTGTCTGTCTGTCTGTCTGTCTATCTGTCATTCTCTTGGTAACGCTAAAATACGCACTTTATTACAACTACTCCTCAATAACTATAGCACTGTCCCGCCTGAAACTTATTTTCCAAATACTATACATATATGAGATGGTTTTAGACGTATTTCATCGAATATGAGACAGTTAGATATTTAACAGTAAACCCTTGAAAATCAAGTTTTTGTCGATTTTTGACGTGGAATTTCTGGAAGCCCATGTTAACCTTATGAGAAATGAAATTATTGAATCTTAACAGCTGTTTCAATTAAACAAGTTGGTTCTGTTCTGTGATGTTCAATAGCATTAAAGTTACAAGGATTACCAACAGGGTGCAGCACTAGCACTATTATTTCTTTTACATTTATGACAACAGCTAATTTGCAACCTGGAGGCGAGTGAGCGTAGCGAACGAGCTAACCTGAAGGCAAGTGAGCGTAGCGAACGAGCTAACCTGAAGGAAAGTGAGCGCAGCGAACGAGCTCCAACATACAGGTGAGTGAGCGTAGCGAACGAACTTCAACCAGGACGTGATTGAGCCATGCAAACGAGATCAGATAGTAAAAATAAAAGTAAGCCTACCGTTATAGGATCGACCGGCAGACACAGAGGTAATTTAACCTTTTATTGATTGTCATACCGATCCGGAACAACAAAAAACAACATAAAATGAAGCTATGTATAATAGTTTGGCCAGCATATCTTAAAATATGCAAACCAACTGCTGTTCGTTATATAAGAAGGTTTCAACTGAATATTATAAGATCCCCGTGCGTAGAACGGGTACACAGCTAGTATTAAATAAATTTGGTTTTTCTTTTCCGAGTTTGTTTGGCTCTTAAATCTCCAGGACACCCAGCCACAAACGGCTTAGCAAAACGCTCTGTTCAAACATTGAAGAAGAAGAACCACCTGAAGTCCACAGCTTTAGAAAACATACCAATGGCAATAAAGGTCCAGAAGATCTTAATGCGGTACTGGGCAACTCCTCTCGCATGTGCAAATCACCAGCTGAACTTTACCCCCACAGGAAGTCAAGAATACGAATGGATGCGAGATGCGATTTTTCCTAATGTACAAAAGGCTTAATGAAGAAATGCTGTTTTAGAGAAGTAAAAAAACAGTTGGGCATTATCTAGTTTTCAAAGGGCACATTGATCAATTGCGGTCTACTTTGATACCAAAACCAAAAGTTGTTAGGGCTGGACCAACCTACACATTTGATGTTCCACGAGCTTCTAAACACAGCAACAAAGAAACAGTACATCTGCTACTCCTTTATAATCTATTAGCTAATCCTGGTATACTGTCAATTCTCGAAGCAAACAATTATTCAGAGGTTCCTGCAGTTCAGGAAACAGAAACAAACAATGCCGAAGTTCCTGTGTATCAAGAGAGAACAAAGTGACAAAGGCAAATGTTGTGCTGTTACAAGGACTTTGTGCTTTCATGATTTCACTGCAAGTTTAAAATAGACGGGGGGGGGGGGGGGGTTTGGCTGTTATGACTTCTCTAAGACTTTACAATATTTCATATAAAACTATTTTTACGATCATATGTTTTTCTATTGTTTGTTTCTATTGTTTCTGTTCATAAATTATAATTTGTGTTAAGTTAACATGCGTGCTTTTATTAATTACAGTAGAGTACTTCAAACTCAGCGTAATGTGAACTGAAAGGGTGCCGAGTTTGTGAAATGCCGTGTTATCGGGTTAAAAATAAGAACAATAACATTTTAAAGATTTTTAACCTCCTATTTATTTATATTTATATTATAAGTCAGTATTAAGTCATCAGATATAGTACAACAAATCCTTGGTACGAGTTGCGAATGATTTGACTTGAGCTGGCTTGCATACATGTTTAACTTGGACTTTTGTTGCTGCTTAGTTCAAAGTGTTCTAATTAGCTGTTGTAAATAATTGCAAAAATTGTTTAGTGCTGCACCCTGTTGGTAAACCTTATAAGATTTTTATGTTATTAAATATCATAGAACTAACTTGTTTAGTAAGAACAGCTGACAGAATTCTTTAATTCCTTTTAAATACAAATACTCATAAGGTTAACATGGGAAACTCAAGAGCCACTGGGGTAGAGCCCAAAAGGATTTTCTAGATTAAAATATATATGTTAATCGGGTATGTGAGCTACCATCATGCCAAAATTCAGCCCAATTCGACCAGTAGTTGCGTAATCGAACTTCAAATAATCAAACAAACAAACACACTAAACTTTCAAATTTATGATATTAGTATGTTTACTTAGAGTCATTTTAATAATCTACTTATTCTCATTCTATGATACTGAAACATGACCAGTGATATTATTTTGTAAATTTGAATTGTGTTGCATGCCCCTCTGTGGCGAGGGCCTCCAGGTGCATGCCTATGTGGCCTATGCTTATATTCAGCCTTGTATGTACATACATTAGTCTAATGCAAACTTAGAACTTATATGGACTCACATGGTGTAGAAATGAGTATGCGTAGTCAGAAGAGTTTGGCAGTTTCCGTATTGTTTGAGGAGCATTGTTTGGCAAAGCTCTACAGACCATCTGAGCATAAACTGAGGCTTTGTTGGAACAGTTGAGAACCACTCCATCAAACAGGTAGTCTCCAACCCTCACAGGGACAAATATAGAGTTTATCCCTGGGAACAGCGAAGGAACAGCTTTCTCAACCATGCCCATCATTGAGGGAGCCATGTTATGCACCATCACTGCAGCACCCTTAAAATGAAAAGATGTCAATTGATGAGTTAATCTAAGATCTTAATTTTTAGACTATTGCGGCGGCTGGTGTCATTAAAATTCATAGTGGTTTTTGGTACAACTTTTCTTTGGACATCGCTGTTCTCCAAGCCATACGTGGCAACAATCTCCAGCTGATAGAGCAGTTAACCACTCAGGAGTACAACTATGTCTCCTTCAGGAACGGTGGGATGGATTTCCAGCAAATTCATTGGGGGAGGGGGGAGCAGTAACCATCAATCTCTATTATTACAACTGGATTGCGTGCTGTACTGCTCTAAGATACACACGTATCGGTCCGGCGCTCCCCCCACCACCTAATGTATAAACCGCCCCACCGCTGCCATACACTTTATATGGGGAGAATGTGTTTTCATTGATATAAACTGTTGTATCTTTGTTGATACTTATTTGATTTAAATGCGGTTTCCACCATTGTACTCGTTATAAAAGTACGAAGCTGATTTGATGTAGTTTTTTGTCAATAAAACCCCGTTGTACCATTATTAAAACAAGAAAAGTGCCTGACTTTGTATTTTTTTAGTAAATTATTATTATTAAGCCTCTTAAAATACAGAGGTCTAAAGTTTCTTATTTACTAAATGGATACTACTTTATACTTACAAAAAAATTCCTTTAAACCCGATTAAAATTTATTTAATGACAAAAGCATCAGGGATATGTGAAGTTAAGTCACGATTATAGTTTTTTTAAGTTTTAAAAGTTATACAGTTTATTGCCACAAGTAATTGTAAGTCTAGAAACATATTTAGGGACATTTTAGGACATAAGGGAATTCGGTCTTCGGCAAAAGTTGCACAAATTAATACTGTTCAAAAACACATTGGTCTCAAATTGAAGGTATGTACGCACAGATTTGCCATCAAGCAACGGCATATATTTATCTGCTGTATTACTCAACCAAAAAATATAATTTGATTCAATTTGAATTCAAAAACAAATGAAATTTTATTATTTTATTATTATTAGTATAAAAACAAACAAATTGTGCTTTTTGATTAATAATTATGTCGAAGGATTTTCTTAAAATGTTTGAAACAAGAAAAGAATTATGCAGGAAGTAACTAAGACACGTTAGAGCTGTTTCATGAATCTTGTAAAGATGAACTAAGAGCTAATCTGATTGGTCCAATTCCACCAATCAGGTTAAGCAGTCAGACCAGTATAAAGGACTAGGTTTGCATGTTAGATCCCTCTTTAAGTCAGAATGTGTTGTACAGTGATGTTAAGAAAAGTTAAAGTTGTTAATATATTTTAGTGAGATTTATCCCAGGAAAACTGGTATGTAAATCAATTTCATTAAAACATTTAGTTCATCTAGTAGGTCTGTTAAAAGAACATGTTTAAACTTTGACTATATTTTAAAGCTATTCGAATTTGTTTGTTTTTAGAGCACATGATTGTTGGTAACCAAAAGCAATTTAAATTAAAGAATGATGGTGAAGAATTTGAAGTATATTATTTCCAATCATAAAACCTATTTTTCAAAATTAATTGTAATGAAGCTATAATCATAGACTAAGCAACACAAGTAGACTCCTCATCACATTGTACATTTTGAAGCTAGTTTTTTATGACTAGTTCATGTACGTCCACACCGATCGCTGGGGTAGACAAAATTTTGTTTCTATTATTTTAGGGTTATTTTCATGATTTGTGCTTTACTATTTGGTTATATAACGAGGAGACCAGTTATTGTTTATGATTATATCTTATATTATTATATTATTATATCTAAGGGAGTATGTTTTATCTATGCTATAATCAAGAATTTTAGGAAGAAATTAAATTAAAACCAAAGTTTCATTACATACAGTATATATAGATTCATTAAAAGAAATAATAAAGAAGAGTGTTGATTAGTTGAAAGTAGTAAAAAATAAAGAAATCTTAACTCTTTACAAATTTTATTGAGCAAGAATCCGAAGTCTGCTTTGCACTTGAAGTGTATATTTTACTGTGCCTACTTATAACATCAATAGATATGGGCTTATATATATAGCCTACACGTACTAGAGTAGACACTCAATAGGTGCTACTGTCACCTGAACAGCGCTGCTGTAGAGGATCGTCAGCGGCCCGAACTACGCTACCTGAACTGACGCTGGCATGACGGTAGGTCAGTGTTGTTGTTTTTTAATATTGCTTTAATGTTTTTTTTTAATATTGTTTTTTTGTTCTTTTTTTAATACCGCGTTAGTGTTATTTTTAGTAAACTATGATTAGGGTTATTTTTTTAGAACATCAATGTTTATATCCCCTCCTAAAATTATGTTAACATTTTTTTTAATGGTCAATTAACATAGGCCACTCAATATATCTAAAAATATATCACAACCTGAGCTAGATGATGACCTATATACTCCAATTGCCAAAATTTTAAATCCATTAATTATATAGCTTAAAGGCACAAAATTCAAATTGCTTATCTTCAAGTAAACTACTAGACAACCAATTTGGCACTAATGTAGCAATAGTTCAACATATCGATGGTATATATAGTAACACAATCGTAATAGCAAAATTATCGAATCACTTTACTAAACTGCTGCTTATTTTAGCATATTTGGAAACAAGCTGGAAGTCGTAAATCGACAACCGAGCCATACAACCAATTAAAACGAGCGATACCTAGTTTACTTTTGTATTTAAAAAAGCTGACTAAAAATCATTTTAAGGAGTAAAAGACCTACCTTAGACCCACAGTGCATGTGTTAAAAATGGCTGTTTTTGCTGCAGTATGACGAAAAAGTATTAAATCTAACCATGCTCAACGTACTTTAGGATTAAATTATCAATTCAAAACAATTAGATTTAACATTTATTTATGTAATATGTGTGTTCCCTAGTGAAAAAAATCCAGTTACTGGCCAGGTTCTGGCCCAGGTTCCAGAATTGGCAGGAACCTGGGCCAGAACCAGAACCTGGCCAGTACTGTTCCAGAACCTGGCCAGTACTGTTCCAGAACCTGGTCAGTACTGTTCCAGAACCTGGTCAGTACTGTTCCAGAACCTGGCCAGTACTGTTCCAGAACCTGGCCAGTACTGGTTCAGAACCTGGCCAGTACTGTTCCAGAACCTGGTCAGTACTGCTCCAGAACCTGGCCAGTAACTGTTCCAGAACCTGGCCAGTAACTGTTCCAGAACCTGGCCAGTACTGGTCCAGAACCTGGCCAGTACTGGTTCAGAACCTGGCCAGTACTGTTCCAGAACCTGGCCAGTACTGGTCCAGAACCTGGCCAGTAACTGTTCCAGAACCTGGCCAGTACTGGTTCAGAACCTGGCCAGTACTGGTTCAGAACCTGGCCAGTAGGTTTACTGTTCCAGAATGTATTGGTTGTTTGAGCTTGCGAAGACGACCCACTTTTACATGAGAATGATGTCAAAAAACATAATTGTGTTAGTATTTGATCACGTCTTTCACATTTTCTCAAATTAAAATACAGTAACGTTTTTGTATCCATAGTTTTTTGTATTTTACGTGAATAACTCGTTAAAAATATTTACCTTTTTACATGAGGGAAAGGAATTTATCGACGGGTTTTCCAAAAAATTAAATTTGTATGCTGATATTTTTACATTATTGGTACACTAGCTGTACCCGCGGGCTTTGCCCCGTTTTACTTCATAAGTGAGCTCGTTCGCATGGCTCAATCACGTCCTGGTTGAAGTTTGTTTGCTACGCTCACTCAGCTGTACCCGCGGGCTTTGCCCCGTTTTACTTCATAAGTGAGCTCGTTCGCATGGCTCAATCACGTCCTGGTTGAAGTTCGTTCGCTACGCTCACTCACCTTTTGGTTGCAAATTAGCTGTTGTCATAACGTAAAAAAAAAAAATAGTGCTGCACCCTGTTGGTAATCCTTGTAAGTTTTTAATGCTTTTGCATATCATAGAACCAACTTTTTAGTTGAAACAGCTGACTAAATTCTTTAATTCCCTTTTAATATGAATACTCATAAGGTTAACATGGGGAACTATAGAGCCACTGGGGCGGAGCCCGAAAGGATTTTTGAGATAAGAATATGCCTATATGTTAATCAGGAATGTGAGCTATCATCATGCGAAATTTCAGCAAAATCCGCCCAGTGGTTATTGCGTTTACTTGTCACAAACATACATCCATACATCCAAACTTTCTCATTTATAATATTAGTAGGATGACGATTGTTTGTTATTTCCATTTATATAACTCTTTTGTAGAAAATGATTGTAAAGGGTCACACTCTTGACTTACACTTTCCAATCAGACAAATACTGCCATTATCTTATCACAATTTCCACTCTTTTCTACTTACTGAAATCAATGGCAAGACTCATTAATTTTATATACAGTAGGCCTAAACCATGGTTATTGATGAGCATGATTACTTCTTACTGAAATGGTTGAGGACCCTATAATCCTGCAGTTTATGTAAGATTAGGTACTCAATTACAATAGACACTGTTATACCTAACAAAAAAAAAACTTTTTTGTTATTTCCGTGCTATTCAAACCGTCAAACAAAATGAAAATAACCAAATACATATCTAATATTACATGTCTAATATTAACATGAATCTCAATCATACCTAATATCAGACAACTTTACGGATTGATAGGTACACAATTTTTAATTGAGGTTAATTAACTTTTTAAAATATAACAATATTGATTGTTAAATTAACTAATTTCTATTGAAACTGTTTGTAAAGATGGCTTTAGGCCAGCATTTTATAGATTTTTTATGTAGGTAGGCCTATCAATCTTAAGCCTACCTTAGTGACAAAATCAAAAGACAATGCACAATTTAACACAGGATTATTAGGTCTACTAGCTCATTTGTTGGTAAAAGAATTATTATTTGTGAATTTTCTTCTATTTTAGTCAGCAAGGTAATACTGCTGTTAAATTGATCATCCATTACAAAATATTTAATTTTGTTAATGTTTATCCATAGGTATTTGAAAAATTACCTCATTAGCAAATGTGTAGGCCTTAATCAATATTCAGCATTATACTCCAACATGTATGTATTTAAAAATATTACATTAGATCTTTGCACTTATAAATAATAATGAATTTTAAAGACATAAAGATTATCTAAAGATTGAGTCCATGAGCCATTTATGGGATGCAGTCTTCGTCCTCCTCAGTCGTTTCTCTCCTGAAAAAAGTAACATTATATTATTAACATTGAATATATTCAACTGGTGTTGGATGTAAATTTTTAAGAGATGACTCATGAACAGATTTCTTATTCTAAAGCAGAATCAGAACACCTGGCTTCTTTCAATTTGTTTGTCTATAGGCCTACATATTAGTTTTGATATCTTAGAGAGATAGGCTATGTGCAAATAAATCAAGCATCAACTCTGTAAGGCAAATGAAACATTAGGCTAAGTTTTTACATTTTGCTTTGATGGTGACTGACATCATCTATTAATCAATCATTAGGTATCAAATTACCTTCCTTCCTACTTGCTAACAATTCGATTTCATGACGGTCTTAGCCAATCTTTTATCACCGTCTCGATGTTTCTTTTTCTTTGGCCTCTGGAAACTGGTTGAAAATCAGCTTCTGTAAGAAATAACAAGAAGTTTGCTATTATTAATAGTAAAGTAGGCTATGTAGCACTAGTAACGTGTCAAAATCTAATCTCAAAACCACCAAAACTTTGAAAAAGGTTTCAGCTTGAAAAGGTTCCATCAGCGAGTTTCTAGATTCAAAACTTTAAATGGGGAAGACAGACAAAAAGAAATTAAACCTTTGACAAGAACTTCATGCACACTTTTTTAACTTTATTCTTTTGCAATCTCATGTAACGGTGATTTGCCGTTGGGAATAAATAAATTTGATTGAATCAAAATCAGCTTAATATATTTCTCAATGCTGTAAAAGGGCCTAAAAATCAACCATAATAAAGTTTTCCCAGATCTACTCATGCTTAAATAGGGTACAGTTCACAAAACTTGGCATGGTGCAATAAGGTGCTTCGACAAGCATAACCCACGCACATAAAATGTGCCGCAGCCGATTCCCATTCAATTATCACAAATTTCAAAAGTATGGATACAATAACCAAGCTATGTAGGCTACATACATTTATTAACAACATAAAATTTGTTCTAGCCTAACTTACTTTCAGTTAAGAAGTAAACAGGCCTAGAAAAATCCATACCACTGAAGAAACGTAACAGATTTTGACGCAAATTGGTTAGCTAGAACTTAACTTATATTTACTTATACTTAACTTAACCTAGGATATGTGAAATGTCGCAAAGTTAAGGTAAATTAGAACAAACTGGCTGTCACTGTCAATACCGTATGAATAAATTATTGGTAAGTTATCAGTCGAGAAATGTTACCAATAACTTAATTATAACATAAAATAGGCCTCATCCATAGTGTGACAGTAAATAACAAATTAAGTTATTCTAGGAATTGGTCAAATACGTTAGATAGGAGTACATTTTCGGTTTGTTGGAAGTTATTTTTGGTTAGCTAATGCTCCCTAGCCTAAGTTTAATTTACTGCGCTTGGCTCGATTTTATTTTCATCCTACCCTACCTAGCAGTACCGGTAGCCTATTTTTAACTTATGCCTAAGGAATTTATTTTATGAAATCAACTATCCTTTAAGGGTGTAAGAATTATTTAGGTGTAGGGCCTAACAATTGAGTTACGGTAGACTATTTAAGATATTTAACTTGTTTTTAACCTAACATAACAAGGTTTTGACTAAGGCTGACTGCATAGGTTTAAGAAAATGATTGTAGTAGGCTAAGTTAGGTATATTCCTATATAGGTAGGTTATTAAAAGTTGCAGATTTGAAACTGTGGCCAATGATTCACCTAAGTAAGGTTAAAAAGTGATATCGCATTAGGACATGCAGTAAAACATTAGGACTCCGTTCAAGTAAAAACCAAACTTTCAAAGAAAGCCCCATCAAGGCTATAGGCCTACTAACAAATGTACTAAGATTAAATCCAATGCAAATTTGTTAGGTAGGCCTAGTCTAAAAACTTATAACCGTAAGCCAAAGCCTGGCTAACTCATTTAGGTTAGTTTTCTATAAGTAACTTAACTACCGGTTTATATCTTAACCTAACTATAATCAGTTTAAAGAAAGACTAGATGTTGCAGAATTTTTATCGAACCTAATTTTTGATGTGTAACTCACATTGAAACTTAATAACTAAAGTAGGCCTAATGTTATTTTGAATTCCTTACCTTGGTTTGGGAGACAGCCTCTTCAATAACGATATTCTTTGGTGAAAGAAAACAAAAAAACTGAAGGTAAACTACCTAACAACAAAAATCTTAGGCTACTAATATAATATGGATACGATTATACACTATTACATTTTAATTTTAAATTGAAAGGACTAAGTTATACTTTTGCAAAGTCAAGAGGTTAGGCACAACAGCCAAGCAAAGATGGCGACGCCGATCTTTTGACAGTTGACAGTTGGAGTTGGAACGGAACAGAAAAATCAGTCCCCTCCCCTCCTCTGCCACGGACTGCACTGGACCCTGTCATTAGCTCTCAGCTCTCAGTCTGGCGCGAAAATTCTTTTAAATTTTAATCTTGCTCAATTTTTCAAAACAATACCTTTTATTTTGGTTGTAGAGATAATTATTCTAGGACACATACTTGTCCTATGTATGGGTATGTGGTAGTACTGTAGTAACTTTAATATTTTACAGGAAAAAATCACAAAAGTTGCAAAAAATATAAACCCTAATTTTCACAACACTAAGAGGTTGCACCATTTAAATTTAAATTATAAGGACCAAAATATACTAATTTTGATCAATATAGGTTGAAAAAACACAGTTTTCCTCTATTATATATAAAATAACATATCAGTTACAGTAGCTTTTAAACCACAATTTTACAGTAATAGGCGTTGTAAAATTTTTTTCAGAATTTAAAGGGCTCTAACATACTTGTTATTTATTAAAAATTTTTGGCCAATTTTTTTTAAATAAGATTTTGTTATTATTTCATGGGTTTTTATGGAAAAATCACCATTAAAAAACAAAATTTCAAAAAAGTTAAAACTTTGAAAACCCATGGTTTGGTACTTATTACTTGCTGAATTTCATCACAATCGGACAACACTTGTGGTCTGTAGCTCTGTACAGATTTGCTCATTCATTATGTATAAGTTAATCGTTATCAGTAATCTCCAATTTACCAAAGTGAATAACTTGTAAAAAAACAACAAACACATATAATTGTGTCTGAATTCTGGACCAGAGGCCATTATCAGCCAAGAACACTGCCAGTATCATCCAGTACCAGCAAAAACCTGGCCAGTATCAGAATCAGAATATAGTTTTATTGCCATAATAATACAAAAATGTACTGGGCATAAGTCACTAAAACTATCAAGTAAAACCAGACCCATTAAAATAAAGATACAAACTTCAATATCAGCCCAGTACTCGCCAGAACCTGGCCAGTATCAGCCCAGTACCCTCCAGAACCTGTCCAGTATCATTCCAGAACCTGGCCAGTATCGCCCAGAACCTGGCCAGTATCGCCCAGAACCTGGCCAGTATCGCCCAGAACCTGGCCAGTCTCGCCCAGAACCTGGCCAGTACTTGTCAGTACTGTGGCAGAACTGGTCAGTTCTGTGACAGTACTGGCCAGAACCTGGACCAGAAAATTTTTTTCACTAGGGTTTGAGGAACTTACGTAAAGAGCTGCTTGCAGTGTTATGACTATGTCATCTAGTGAACGAGGGGCCGTAAGATCTGCACGATAGTGGTACATCAAGGTCTTCATGTACACTATAGAATCTTCTCTCAACTCTAATGGTCTTTTTAAAGTGATCTGTCTGAAAAATACAATTAATATTATGTGTAGACTACTGAATCTTCCGTATATCATTGCATAGGATATGACGGTTAGATTGAGAGATTGTCATTTAGAGTTAATACTGTCAAACCATGCGGCATGATAGGCTGAACTTAAGAATCTAAAACACTTACAGGAGTAAAAACAAGTGGTTTTTTTGTTTTACTACATTCTCATGGAGAACAAGCGAGCGACCTTTGGTCTCATTTAAAGAGCTAGACATTGGACTAATTTACTTTTTTAGTTACAGAGAGGCTTGTATAATCTTCCTTCAGCATCAGGGTTGTTAGTGAATCTTATAAGATTATGTTTGGTTGTCAAAGAAAATCCATACAGTACACATGTGCTAGAGATTGGAGTTGATATTAAAAAGTCATTTTCATAGTAGCAAAAGCGCATTACTCTCATTTATGGGTATTTAAATATAGGCCAGTCAAATTGGACAGTAAAATCACAAAGCGTGATGTATTGCTGTATTTTTGATATGTTGTTGGGACCAGTTAGGGTAACTCAAAACCCAGTTAGCAGCTTCGAGATCCCTGTGCTCCCTGCGTAATAAGTAAAATATTACAAAATTAATGTATTTTTTTTTAGTTTTGGTCAAAAACTTATTAACAGTGCATTTTTCTTAATACTACTCAAATGTAATAATTAAAGTACATAAAATTTCCAACAATTTAAGCATATAGTTTCATTTATGTGTGTCAAATAGTTTTTGAGCAATGATTTTTCAAATATTAGTTTTTTTTTTTAAGTAATTACCAATTTACATTTTTCCTGGTTTGGACCCTAAAAAATTGTGTAATACCCATATTAGCATATGGCAGAATTCTTAAAAACTGCTTTTGTAGTAAACTTTATTGGCTTTTGTTTTATCACAAAGCAAAGTCTGTACCTTCAACACTTTTCTGAAAACTATACAAATAATAATATATGAATATCACGATTTTTTTTATTTAATGAGTTGAAATAATGTCCCCCAACCATTAAGTGATAGAATAAAACGAAATAAGGGAAAAACATATTTATTGTTAAAAGTTATATTTAAAGATAAATTATGACAAAACATTCATAATTAGTATTTTGGCTTTTTGGACACTGAAGGCAAGGTATTAGAAATGTTTCCTGATTCAAACTCATTGGGTATAAAGAGATATTATCGTCAGGGTCATCTTCATCCTCTTCAATAAATGGTAATGTGACATTTTGGCAGTTCTTAGCAGAGCAAGGAGTACATAATGGTGAACACTTTAGCCCGGCCTCCCGACATGTGCAAGCACCTGTGCATCCCTTTTTGCACCTACATGAAATTAGTTTCAGAAGGTTGGATGGAGCTGGACTGCATGTTATTGTCACTGGAACCAATCCTGCTGTGCTATTTGACCAACCTCACTCTGTGGGCTCCTTTTCAATCCCTAACCATTTTTCACTTGGTGGTATGCTCTAAATTAGTGGAAGGAAGCTGCATCTTGGGTGGGGGGCAAGCGTGATAAGTTTACCTTAGCACTGGCTGCTGCCTTTACAAACAGGTGGAACCGAAGGTTTTCTAATTCATCGTGGAATGTGTTGCCACCATACAAAACAATTAGGCACTTTTCTTCCGCTTCCTAGGAGGAATTGTTAGAGTGATGTTGAAGAATAAAGATTGTTTGCCTTGAATGAGTAGGCTTTATTTAACACAATTCAAGTAATGGAATTCATAAGTAAGAGTTAAATCTAGAGAATGAAATAATGATTACAAACATTCAACATAAGCAAATAAAATAACAATGTTCAACAACAGCTGGGAATAATTTCTATCACATTCTTCCACGCTAATATAATTTAAAGTCTTTAAGATGAGAAGGTAGTCTCTTCTGTCTTGAGCTTCATCTCTGTAATTGGGTTTCATCAGTCCTTAAGGTTTGTACTAGAGGATCTTGAGTTGTAGATTCTTCTATCACTTCTGCATCGGGATGAGAATATACATCTTGGGTTTCGTCTACTAAGTTTCCATCCTTACTCAGTCCTATTGTGTGATTCTCTGGTGTTGAATTATCATCAAAATCTGTTCTCTCAGCTAGTTTTCCACAAGGAGCTAAGTTACGTGTAGACACTGTTGTCTCACGCCAGATGGGCCCATCTGGCAATCGTACATGAGCGTAATCAGAGTTTCCTTCCAGCAACGTCACCTCCTGCACTATTGGTTCATACTTAGAGTTTCTGATAGGACGTTTCATAAACACTTTTCCAGGAGTCATCAACCAGGTTGGAATGGAAACACCATTTTGTGATCTTCTGGGATGTCCAACATTCGTTCATGTGGCGTACAATTCGTGGCAGTACAAAGCAAGGATCGGATAGAGTGAAGAGCTTCATCCTGAACTAATTCCCACTTTGTCACGTCAAGTTGATAGTTCTTAAGGGTAAGTTCTACTGTTCTCCAGATTATACCATTATACCTCTCAACCTGGCCATTACACTGAGGGTTGTAAGTAGTAGTCCGGCTAGAAGCAATGTCGTTTAGAGTAAGAAACTCTTTTAGTTCTTTTTAAAGAAAAGAAGATCCCTGAGTGGAGTGAATGTAGCTAGGTGTACCGAACAATGAAAATAATTGTTTCAGTTTGCAAATAACAGTCGAAGAGGACATATCAGGACAGGGGTACGCAAATGGAAATCGTGAGTACCTACTCATCAATGATTTTTAGCATAGACCGATTTCTTGTAGAAGAGGGAAGAGAGGACCCTTAAAATCCAGGCTAAGAAGCTCGAACCGTGATGTTGCTTTTATTAATTTTCCATCATGTTTGAAGAATCTTGGTTTTACTTCAGAACATACCATACAGGAAGCAGTCATTCTTCTTACCTCATCAAGGGTGTATGGTAAATTTTTGCTTCTGATCCAATGATACATACGAGTTTCACCAGGATGACACATTCTTTCATGATATTGATGAAGTCTGTTCATTTTGTCGCTCATCGAGCACACTCGTGATATAGAGTCAGCAGCTACATTCAGTTTACCAGGTCTATAAACAATATCATAACTTGTTGTTGTGCACTTTCCAAACAACGGGCCTGTTCATAAGCATCTTGAAGAGGCAGCTTAAAGTTTTTTCAAGTAAGTAAGTAAGTTTCTTTTACACAAATTTAAATTATATATTTTTTTAATTAGCTAAAGCATATAGTAAATGTTTTTTATCTTACTCTTAATAACTTACACATGTTGTAAAAACAATTAAACTCGTTAAATGAAAAAATCATGATATTCATAAATTATTATTATTGTAGGCTATAGTTTTCAGAAAAGTGTTGGAGGTAGAGACTTAGCTTTGTGATAAAACGAAAGCCAATAAAATTTACTACAAAAGCAGTTTTTAAGAATTCTGCCATAATATGGGTACTAAACAATTTTTGTGGGTCAAACCTAGGAAAAATGTAAATTATGGTAATTAGGGACCTAAACAAATTTGTAATAACTTATATTGGAGATATTGGCAATGAATAATGAAATGTATAACTAAATTTAAAAGTTCAAAAAAGCCAACATATAATAAATTATTTTAATCCACAAGCGCTTTCAGAAACTATGTTTCCATCGTCAGGCTGTGTTTAATTTTTTGTATTAGTTTAAACACAGCCTGACGATGGAAACATAGTTTCTGTAAGCGCTTGTGGATAAAAATAATTTATTATATATTGACCTTTTTGAACTTTTAAATTTAGTTATACATTTCATTAAATTTGTAATATTTGAAAAATCATTGCTCAAAAACTATTTGACACACAAATATGAAACTATGCTTAAATTGTTGGAAATTTTATGTACTTTTTTATATTCTCCGTAGCCAATAACAGTACAAAAACAATTCAAAGTAAAATATTATTTGGTTTTCAAGCTCAACAAAATGGTTCAAAGAAAAATTGGGAAATTCTATGTTTTGAGGGTTAAAAATGGGAAACACCTCCTATTATCCCATAAAACCCTGTTCCCATGGTGCGATCATGCTGGTTCGCAAACTCGTTTGAATAAATGTAGGCTTACACGTTTGTACCAAAGAGCATCAAAATCGGATTATTTTTGCTTGGGCTATCATGCTAACGAACACATATATGAATCAGGGGCGGCTCGAAGAATAATCTTTTGTGCAGCCATGACAATAATGATCAAAAGGATTGATCGGAGGATGAGAGGTTTGAGGGGCTTTCCCCACAAAAAAGGGAATTTAAAATTTCAATGAAAAATAATTAGTTTAAATGCTTTCCTTTATTTACATATAATTAAATTTCTTTATTTATTTATAATTTTGAAATATCTTGGTTGAAAATTTTGGGTGGGCCAGGCCTAGCTGGCATGCCCCCTGGAGCCACCCTTGATATGAATTTGAATAGATGGTGTTATTGGCCTCTGGGGACATCAAAACAAAATATAAATCGGTCCCAGGTCAAGGTCTTACCATGAGACCTATGGTAATATGGGAAGTTCGGTAAAACTAAGGGTGAAAATTGAATATGACATTAGCAGTCTCGAAGAGACTCATTCAATTAACTTATATCATATAAAGTCGATGTTTCTTTCCTCTGCTCTTGAGCTAAGAAAGGAAACAAAACAAAAACTCCTAGATAAAAATATCTTGATTGTTTTTTGGTATTGAGAAAGTTGCTTACTCATAGACATAAGGTCCAACCTCCACCAGCTTCGGGTTGGCCATGCCTCTGCTGACTTCCTCTGGATTAGTCAGGTTCCAGAGGTAGATATTGGTAATGAAGGGAAGTGGTTGTTTTTCCCATCTCTTGAAAGACTCTGTTCCATCCCGCAGCACTCGCAACTGATACATCAAAAAAGTTCACTGTAGAAGAAGTTGAATACCTTCCAAGGTAATCCTTGGTTGTCTAAATGACAACTGGTTTTGACACACTTTTAAAATTGCTGCTATCAAGCCGTCAGAGATTTTTTGTTTTGTTAGTTTTTGGTTTATATATTTTGAAGACCTATTTTTAATAGATTAAGAACTAAGCCGACAATGACAGAGATCCTACACACTTGCATTAAAACGCGGTGGACAGATATAGCGCACCCTTAACTTCATTGAATCAGTTATCATCTCAATTAACAACAATGAAAAAGTTATTGGAATATTTTTGGATTTTTTAAAGATTTTGATACTGTGTCACATGATAAATTACTTGAAATTCTTCATGGCCTACTAAATATAAAGTCATACTCATAAAGAATATATTAGTTTAGAGCATATTTAAACATTTGGAAACAATGTGTTTAAATTCGACATACTATATCCAACTTGCAAATATTCATACTGTCAAAATGCAAAATGTCTTATCCATATATAAAAATATATTGGTTTTTCTTTTCCGAGTCGGAAAATGTTGGCTCTTCTACCAGACCGATTTTCATAATTTTGGTCTTAAAGTAAAGGTATGCATTCATTGGTATAATATTAGACCAGTATTTAACTTAAAATAAGCATGTGGAACATTTAGTAAAAACATCTTCAGCAGGTCGTCATGCTTTGCGACAAATGCCAAGTGTCTCAAGCATTGAAATTTTCAAAATTATTTACTTTGCTCTATTATATTCACATATTGCGTTCTTCTCCAAGATGGCGCCAAACAAATGTGGTCTGCAAGAATGTGTGCGAAATATTTCGCCAAACAGTAAAAAGATTAAGTGTTTTGGAAATTGTATGATGTGGTTTCACATTAATTGTGCCAGTGTATCAAATGAGGAATTTAATTTATTCAAGGAACTTGGTGATAAAGCTCATTTCATGTGTGAAAGCTGTCGGTTGCTGACTTCTGTTACGTCTCAACAGGCAACGGGTAAGATTGATCTTAAAAGTGACGATGTTTGTAAGAACTCAACTCTGGACGATACGACAGCAAAATCACTTTCTGATCAGGTTTCTAATTTAATTACTAGTCATACTGACCTAAGTGAGAAAATCAAATTCTTATTGGAAGAAAACATAAAGTTAAGGGAAGCATTGACGAACCAAGCTGAAGTAATTGGTGACATTGTTTTAAATAGATCTGACAAAGACTCATATGCTAGTAAATTAAAAGGACATTTATTAGGCCCATTAACAACTGATTTTTCATACAAAAGTGCTGATAGTAATTTTTCTCAATCATCAGCGATGACTGAACATGGTTTTGATCATACTAGTAAACAAAATGTTTCGTCTGCTAGTGCCCGCAACAGGATAAAGTCATGTTCGGTTTTGCAGTTCAGTGAAGCTGTGCATAGGCAAACAGAGAAAGGTGGCTCATATCATCTAAACCCAACTTCTCGAATTCACCCGGCAAAGAGTAAGCAACAGTACAGCAACTCCACAGAGGTTACTGTTACTCGAGCTGGGGACCCTGAAAACTGTTTTCGGGAACAATCCGTTCCAGTTTCTGACTCCGATTCGGACTCATTTCAAACCGTAACTTCTAAACGGGAAAAACAGCGTCGTCGAAGATGGACTGCATCTGATCAAGTTGGCTCTGGTTCTGGTAGCAAGGCTGACATCAAGGTTAAGCAGAATCAGCAAAAACCAAATAAACCGATGTTTATAACCGGATCCTTGTCAAACTACGGTGATAACCTAAAAACTGCAGAGAGGAAATCGTTCTTATTTGTGTCAAGACTGGGACCAGACACCAAGCCAGAGGACCTCGATGCTTTTTTAAAGTCTAAAGTGAGCGATGAAGTATTTAAGGTTGAAAAGCTGTCAGCAAAGTATCCAGATGAGTATTCTTCCTTCAAAGTTGTCCTTCCATCTCGGGTCGAAAAGGTAATCTTTAAGCCTGATTTCTGGCCAAAAGGCGTTTTTGTAAATAGATTTGTGATAAAAAACAAAGGTTCTTTAAACTCACAGGACAACCATACCCTCCAACCCTCGTAAGTAAGAATGAGGTGTCAGGGTGTAGGCCTAGGACCAGCCACTCTCTGAAAACTCTGTTATGGAATAGTCGTAGCCTTTGTGATAAGGTTAATTTTGTTGAACTGTCCGCTGATGACTTGAGGAGCGATGTTATATTTATTACAGAACACTGGCTCCTTGAGTCTGAAATTACTGTTTTTAAAATAGAAAACTTTGTTTTGGGCTCTTGTTACAGCAGGCCTGGAATGCACAGAGGTGGATCGGCTATATTTATCAGAAGTAAGCCTAATCTAGACTTAACCTGGAAGGCTGTGCCTCGTTTAACTAATTTGGCCATTATGAATGTTTTTGAAGTTAGTGCTTGTTTGCTGGACAATCCTAACATCTTACTAGTTTGCATTTACCGTATTCCTGATAAAACAAACTTTAAAACGTTTTTACATAAATTGAGTGAAATGTTACAAATTGTTAGCTCAATGAATTGTGATATCCTAATTGCCGGTGACTATAACATCGATTTGAGAGACAGTTACTGCCCATTTAAAACGGACTTCAGCAATTTGATTACCAGTTTTGGACTCAACCTCATGTTAACTGGAGAAATTACTCGGCCTAGCTCTGTCAACCTACTAGAGGGCTCCTGCATTGACAACTACTTGACAAATCTGCATCCTTCTCGCTGGTCTGCTGCGGTTATACCAACTACGGCGTCGGATCACTACATGGTGTCTTCTTCGCTGGACTTGGCTGTTGCTGCAGCATCTAATCAGCGTCATAAGGGGCCTACTAGGAGACTTTACCGGAGACATGTAAATAGCAACAATTCAAGTTTATTTAATAGCTACATTAGGACCTCTGACTGGTTCGATATTTACGCTGTATCTGATGTTAATGTTAAAATTTGTCTTTTTATTAATGTATTTTTAATGTATATAAATTGCTGTTTTCCATTTAAAATGGTTAAAAGTTCACTACATACTAATAGTTCTGCTGGTCATTGGTACACTCACGAGCTTAGGCTATTGAAAGAAAAATGTCTAGATCTATTTCATCTAAGCAAAACAACTGGTTTGGAGGTTCATAAAAATCATTACAGAAGCCACATGAGTGTGTACAACAATAAAGTAAAAGAAGCAAAGTTAGTTTATAATAACAATTGCATTCTTAGAGCCTGTAATAAACCCAAAGAGATGTGGAAAATTATAAAAAATAGTTTATCTATTAACGAGTTACCAGTTATGAAGGCTAACAACAACAATCTTGACGCAGAAGCCTTTAGTTCCTTCTTTGTTGATAGCATTAGTAACTTAGTTGATAATATTCCTAATAATGTAAATAGTATTGATGTATTTTTAGAAAATGTTCCTGTTGTTGATGTAAGATTTGATTTCTCTCAGGTGTCAGTTGAAAAAGTTTTTGATGCTATTAATAATTTAAGTAACAGTACCAGCCTAGACATATTTGGTGTTTCTTCTCAGATGCTTAAAATAAGTAGTGCTTATATCTGTGAAGTTTTGGCTCATATCTTTAATTCATGCATTTCCAGTAATACTTTTCCAGATAAGTTTAAAGTGTCAAAGGTTGTTCCAATCTTTAAGAAGGGGAACAGAAGCATTCCTGGGAATTACAGACCAGTAGCATTGGTTCCCACAGTGTCAAAGGTCCTTGAGAGATTACTTTCATGGCAAATCATCCATTTTTTAGAATCTAACAGTCTTTTGTCTGGTGTTCAGTTTGGCTTTCGAAAAGGCCGGTCAACCACAGATGCAGTGTTAATGTATATTCAAGATACTTTGGATGCGATGGAGTTGAAAAAGAGTGTTTGCTCCAAGTTCTTTGATCTCTCAAGGGCTTTTGACACTGTGTCACATCAATTGTTGTTTAGAAAACTAAGATTTTTAGGTTTTAGTGATAGCGCAGTTGCATTGATGGAATCATATCTATGTGGTAGAAGTCAGGCAGTGTTCTTTGACGGTGTTCTGTCGGATTTGGTGGAGACTCATCATGGCGTTCCGCAAGGGTCGATCTTAGGACCTTTGTTATTTATTATTTATGTCAATGATATGCCTTATAATTTACAGAATGATTGTGTTTCTTGTTATATGTATGCTGATGATGTGTGTCTAAATTTTAAAACTCATAAGGACTTGCAGAATGGAATCACCGTTGGCTCTGTTAATACAATGGTAGACTGGTGTAATGCTAACAAACTGTCTTTAAATTTAAATAAAACACAAGACCTGAAAATTTCTTATGCTAACACAGATTCTCATCAACAACCTGTTAAATTTTTAGGTATCTTAATTCAGAGCAACTTGAAGTGGGAATCACATATAGAATTTGTAGCTGTTAAAATATCCAAAGGTATGTTTATATTAAGAAAATTAAAAAATGTTGTTTCAATGGAAGTTCTGCTTACTGTTTACTATAGCTACATACACTGTCATCTTACCTATGGTACCATTCTTTGGGCTAATTGTGGTTATGTAAAATCTTTATTTGTGTTGCAGAAGAGAGCTATTAGATTAATTGCTGGTGTTCCACCGAAAACTCATTGTAAGCCCATTTTTAGTTGTTTATCTGTCATGCCTCTTAATTGTATATATATTTTTCACTGTCTTATGTATTGTAAAAAGAACTTAAACACTTTGTCTTCCCACTGTGATGTCCATAGTTATAAGACCAGAAACTGTGCTAAACTAAGAAATTATTACTGTACTTATAGTATTACTCAAAAAAGCTTTAAATATTCCTCGATTAAGTTATTCAATCATCTACCATATTATATTCAAGAGTTACCATTAGATAAATTTAAAATAGTTGTTAAGAATTTGTTATTGAAATACTGTTTTTATGACTTAGATGAATATTTTGACAATTGTTTTGACCATTGAAATGTTTTATTAATTTACATATTGACGCAGCCTATACAGCATTGTATGATTTTTGTACATTGTTGTCTCGGAATAAAGATTGATTGATTTGATTTGATTTGATAGAATAGCTTTCAATGGTGGTACCACAAAAAAAACCTGGACAAAACAACAGGAAAAATCTCCTAGAATTATTTTAAATATAAATAAAAGGTATCAGCAATCTGACACATACTTTCTCCCATAAGCTCGTCAACAACCTTTATCATGGGTAAGCGGTGAGAGTAATTATGTTGTTTTATAGTTAAAAAATACATAAGTTGCAATAACTTTTGAACACCGCAATTGTTACAGCAATGGGGTGTTGTACTATTTTTTTTTTATTATAAGGACCATAACATAATAACGTTGATCAAAACTAGCTTTTCTCTGAAAATCAATTTTTTTGTTATTTTATGGGTTTTTTATGGGGAAATAACATAATTTACAATAACTTTTGAACCGTAATTTTTACAGGATCAGGATTTGTACCATTTTGCTCAGAATTTATAGGGCTACAACATACTAAATCTATATAAATAAAATTAGAGTTTTGTCTGTACATTGCTTAGAATAATGAACTTTTTGGTTATTTTTACATTTCATAGGTCAGAGAAACCGAATCAAACCTTATCTCAATTTCTGTCTGTCTGTCTGTCTGTCTGTCTGTCTGTCTATCTGTCATTCTCTTGGTAACGCTAAAATACGCACTTTATTACAACTACTCCTCAATAACTATAGCACTGTCCCGCCTGAAACTTATTTTCCAAATACTATACATATATGAGATGGTTTTAGACGTATTTCATCGAATATGAGACAGTTAGATATTTAACAGTAAACCCTTGAAAATCAAGTTTTTGTCGATTTTTGACGTGGAATTTCTGGAAGCCCATGTTAACCTTATGAGAAATGAAATTATTGAATCTTAACAGCTGTTTCAATTAAACAAGTTGGTTCTGTTCTGTGATGTTCAATAGCATTAAAGTTACAAGGATTACCAACAGGGTGCAGCACTAGCACTATTATTTCTTTTACATTTATGACAACAGCTAATTTGCAACCTGGAGGCGAGTGAGCGTAGCGAACGAGCTAACCTGAAGGCAAGTGAGCGTAGCGAACGAGCTAACCTGAAGGAAAGTGAGCGCAGCGAACGAGCTCCAACATACAGGTGAGTGAGCGTAGCGAACGAACTTCAACCAGGACGTGATTGAGCCATGCAAACGAGATCAGATAGTAAAAATAAAAGTAAGCCTACCGTTATAGGATCGACCGGCAGACACAGAGGTAATTTAACCTTTTATTGATTGTCATACCGATCCGGAACAACAAAAAACAACATAAAATGAAGCTATGTATAATAGTTTGGCCAGCATATCTTAAAATATGCAAACCAACTGCTGTTCTTTATATAAGAAGGTTTCAACTGAATATTATAAGATCCCCGTGCGTAGAACGGGTACACAGCTAGTTTTTATTAAAATCGTTTGGGCCACTTTGAGGAAATTTGATTTTTCTGGTTTTTATGGGGTTTTATGGGAAAATCCCCATTAAAAATCCAAATTTCACAAAAATGAAAAAAAATTTCTGGAGATACCATGGATTAGAACCTAAATACCAAATTTCATCGAAATCTGAACACAGGTGTAGTCCCTATAGCTCTGTACACTTCCAGACAGACAGACACACATATGCACACACACAGACATCACTTCGAAAACAAATATATCCACTCAAAACTCAAACTCAAAAATTTTGATGAAAACAATACTTTCTCCATATACTATGGTATAGGGAGAGAAAGTAAAAAACAGACAATCAGTCAGGGGATATTTTCCAAAATTGGGTATAACGACCATCTATGATTTATACATTTTTGAAATCAATCTACATGTAAAAAGTTCAGATCATCAAACTAAGAATTTCCACAGTTACAATATAAAACACCAGGCATGTAGAACATAACAAATTGAAATTATTTGAGGGGGAAAAACAGTTTTATTGGCAACAAATTCTTATTTAGCTTACACAAAAATATTTTCAATGACAATAGTGTGTTTATAGCGGCACTAGTCCTGAGCGGTGGCATGGTAGCTCAGTTGGCTCAGGCAGCGTTAAGGTCTTTCTACATGAGCATACATCCCATACCATGTGCAATCCATACCATCTATAATCCATACTATAATCTCAATCATGCGTGGCTTAGCTGGCAGAGAGGCCCACCTTAAATAATCGTTGTCCTGCTTGGGGGAAATTGACAACATTATTGAGTTCAATAGGGATTGCATACAACAGAACCGCGTTCCCTTGTACCTCCGTCTAGTTCTAGTTGTCCCTACGTCTAGTTATACCTCAGAGGCTCAGACCTAGGGACAACCAGTCGTAGGTACAACTAGGGGTAGGTAAAATGCCTTAAAGAAACTGCTAAAACAATTTTCAATCTAACTTAAATCACTTTATTCAATAGAAAACTTTTAGAAAAAAAAAAAAAAAAATTAAAATACATTATGTTATAACTTATGTATGTAATCTTTTATTTAGGAGACTTATATATCTAATTGTTTGTTTTTCTCTTCATTTCAGTGACACAATTTATGTATTTCCTGTAAAAATACTTTCATGCATAAAGATGATTTGTATTGTATATTGTATTGTATTGTAAGCGTGTTAAAACTGGTTGGTATTCACACGACCTACGATTACTTTGACAACCAGGTTCTTAACCTCTTGTATAGTATAGTTTAATTGTTAAGTAGTTTGGAAGGCATCACCTCAAAAATTAAGATCAAAGTTCAATTACATTTATGTTCAGATTTCTTGATAGATTTATGCTCACATTTCTTCCTATCATAAGCCTACGAGGTAGGTTTAGAAAGTAAGTTCTGCTTTGAAATAAAATAATAGCAAGTACAGATACAGGAAAAAAGTATCTATCTATATATTAATAGGCAAGCATGTTTCTTTAAAACCTTTTTTCTCAGCTCGTGTGAATCGTAGGGAAAATCTACGCATACCGTTGGAAAGCTATTTTACTGTAGGTGTGCAGAATCCCTTTATAAATTTAAATAGGCTCAAAGATAAGCACAAAAAATGAGTTTAAAAATTTGAAAAAATTAACATGGATCTTATGCGTTGCTATGCTGGTTACGAAATAACAACGAAATATAAACAGAAAATCAAAACAAATGGAGGAAACTCCAATCACATGTTTTATTTACAGTGTGGGGTGAAAATAGATAAGTGAGTACATTACATATTTTTGGTCGAGTTTCGACCACTGGACGACCTCTCGTTTAAAATAAATCTACAACTTAAACAATTTTTGACATAGGTAACTCCCTCCGAATTTGTCATAGGATGGTAGAAGTTTGAGTATACCCTCCTCGTAGAATGTTGCCACCTGTGTAGTTAACTACAGTTTGAGGTAACACGTTCTTCCAGATCTTAATCGTAGTTTAACCATTGACCGCCAAGAAAAGACTTAAGATTATAAAACAAATTTAAATCGCTTGGAACAAGGTTGGGGCTGTACGGAGGGTTGTCAATTCCCAGCCTAAGCCCTGAAGAAGTGTCTTCATCACTTTTGTGGTATGTGGTCGAGCATTATCGTGAACAAAAACCACTCCTTTTGTGAGCATTCCTTGGCGCTTATTCTGTATTGCACATGGTAGTTTCCTGAGTGTCTCGCAATAAACATCTTTATTGATTGTTTGACCTCATGGCAAAAAATCAATAAGCAAAATGCCTTTTCTGTCCCAGAAAACTGCACATGACGTTTCGAGGAGTCAAGATTTGCTTTGGTTTGACTTTTGCCAGAGTGTGCCTCCATTCCATTGATTGACGCTTAGTTTCAGGGGTATCATAAGCAACCCAAGTTTTATCTCCCGTGACTATCTGCGATAAAAATGTACGCCATCCTCGTCATAACGAGTCAAGAAATCAAGTGCACTGTCTGTTTAGCGGTTTTGGCCCGTTCAGAAAGGTTTTAGGCATCCAAGGTGTACAAAGTTTACGATAATCCAGCTTTTCAGTAACAATCTCGTAAATTACTGTTTGTGAAACTAGTGGAAATTCACGTGCAAGAGCACTTATCGTAAACTTACAGTTTTCTTAAAACTTCTCATTGTCTAACCACAGATGGACGTCCATTTTGTTTCTCATCATGCACTGTCTGTATCTCGCCCTTCATTAAATCGTCAAACCCATCCTCTCACCATTGAATAACCAATTACATTGTCTCCACAAACCTCACAGATTTGTTGGTGGATGTAAATTGTTTAAAGATTTTGCTTTAAGAAAACGAAAAATCCATCGAATCTCATAATTGGCAGGATTCTCAATTAATGCAGCCGTTATGAACAACCATTAGTTCACTACTTATCGTTATGAGTTTCTGCCTATAGTCTCATGAATTATCTGGAACCTCTGACCACTTGAATTTTCTGATGTTGCACCTATTCCTACATTGGTGGGAAATTGATACGGCACACTCCTTATTGGGAAGTTGCCTACCTACTGCTGTTGTTTGGATCGGACATTAAATAAAACCTTATGTAAATGGCTATAATGGGGTGAAATCATTTGATGAATAATACCTTTATTGGATTATTAGAAGTTTACTAGATTTTAACTGACAGAGTTCAAAACTAAATGAAAATATGTAGGATTTTGGTTTTGGTATTATTTACCCCATTAACAAGCTAGCATAACAAACAGGAATACTTTAACAAATGCATCTCTTCAATAAGATTATCCCCAAAGACAGATTCAATCTTACCCTAACAGTTGCGTAGTCAGCAACAGCTGGGATAATGACAAAGTAGACAATCACTGAGGCAATGATAGCTACGAAGCTGATTATAATTACTGACAGGACTTTACGGTGCTGAAGATTCTTCCATTTTTCCTTTCTGAAAAAATATAAACACTCAAAATTGGAAGAAACTGCTTTTTACAATTTATTATTTTTTTTGGTTTTTCAAAATAAAGTTACAATATAATAGACTTCTGGTCTGCACAGTAGTTTAAGGACAGTGAAGCACTGTTATGGTGTACATAATCATTGGCCTGTTTAAGTCACCAGCTGTAAGCATCATTTTTTCACAGCAGTCACCCTAGCCTTGAGTGCAACCATCAGCAGTGTACTGTCTTAGCTCAAGATCCATCCAAACTGTGCTTGATACTTTATTCTAAGAATTTAAGTCGTTATATTGTTTTCTGGACTTGTATAAACTTTAAATGTTTGTTTCTGTTTCTGTAACATTACTGTAACTCTGTAAAACATGTAATAATTATTGACTAAGAAGACTTTATTTGTACAGCTCTCTGCTGTATATGAGAGTGGTACTGGGTATATAATTAATGATAAACACTTTATGCTATACATTTTTGGTGTGTTGTGCCATAGAGAAGAATTAGACTATGTCTACTCTGTGGCTGTATAAGCCTATTTCATTCATAAAAAACATTATAGTTGTAGTTGTTAAATATAATAAAGTTATCCATATATTGTGACGGTAAGGTAAGCTAATGGTAAATAGGTCACATATATTTACAGGTCATATGAAGAGAAAAAATCCTTTTTTGGAGAAACAGAAATAGTTACCCTCTCTATTAACTTACCTTAGTCTGTATTGCTCCTGAGTCCATGACAAGATGTTAAAATCTCCAAATTTCATTTATGTGTATGATCAAAATGTTCTTCCATCCATCTGAAAGTTTATCAAGCGTGAAATGTATTCCACATTATTTTATAAAGTTTGTTCCTCTAAAAATCTCTAACGCAAAATCAAAAGAATATCAGCATAAATTCAAATTGGAAAAAAGTCGTATGAGTAAAGTAAACAGTTGTAATTGCTTTAACTAGAAAACTACTGAAACAATGTGCTGAATATTCTGGTTACCACTGTAGAAAATGTTTAGTGCCAAACATCAGATGTCTTAATATGTGTACTGCAGCTGTGTTATCAAGACTGTGTCAATATCAAAGTTACCTGATACTGCAAATGAGCAATACTTGTTCTTGAATAATCATCCAGCAAACAATAAAATTACTATAATTTGACTTCAGTAACTCATAAATGATACTAACGGTGTGAATGGTTTGATAGTTTATATTAATACGCAAGCAGTTTTCTTTTCACAGCCATAACTCGATAACGGCTTGATGGATTTTAACGTTTGAGGTGTCAAATTAAAGGTATTTCCATGTAGATGTGCAAATACGTCTCAGAATATTAAGGAAGGGCATCACTTAAGTACACTTAAGGGCTAAAGTTTGGAAGGTGGCGCTATCTGTTGACATTTGATCAAACTCAATTCCCTTTGTTTACAAATAACATATGGACGTAGTTTGAAATAGTTTTTAAGGTTAACCACAGACTGCAGGACTTAAAACTTCCAGAGCAAAAGTGGGGCCTTGGGCAAAGCTGGAATTTATATTTTGTTTCAATCTGTTAACTAAGTCTGGTTCATAATGAAGAGTTTAAGAATAAATATTTAATTTTTTTGTCTATGGTTAAATTGATTTACCTTATATCGTATTTTACTGATTATCATGTAGTTCGATGTGATGAAGTGAATGTTTAAAAGTGATTTTAAAAGAGAGCAGGGCAGTTATCCGTTACATTACCATATTATCATGTAATTTACAATGTGTATCAAAATTCCTCTATAGTGTTTTCTGTTGTTTGGTTAACTTCCTTATTTCATTTCAATTTAAAATAAAATGCTGCCAGTAAGACGAAGATCCTGAGTGGCTGGAGGGACCGCAAACATGATCGCTTGCATCAAACTCTCAATTGAACATTTGATGGGTGCATAGTGGTAGTACCACCGTTGTGATAGTCCAATCTCGGACAAATGAACGTTAAATGTTTACATTGTAGTGGCTTACATATTTTTAAGCAAGAAAAGACTGGCCAAGACAGTTAAGTTTTTAATCTTTGTTGCCATAAATAAAAGGTTTGTTTACCTCATTTGTGCAATTCACCATACCTTCGGGTTCTTATTGGAAACTCCCAATCTGAAAATAGGACTGTCATACTTATATCCAGAAATTATTTGGATAAAGTTTGTCAATTCAATTCTGCCTTTACCATGGTCAGCTCCGAAGCTCATTAAGATGAGAAAGTTCCACAGGGGATCTACAATCAATTTTAAGGCCCGTGACACGTTTTACCACCGAGTGGGTCCTCTAATTCCTCAAGAAGGTGATAATCCTGAATACACAGAGATATATAAGTAAGTACAAAAATGTCACTAGAACCCAAAAGATAATTAAGCACAATTAAAAAAAAAAAAAAAAATTCAATGAAAAATATGCGAGAAATAAGGTCACAATGCCAACCCATTTGCAAATCTTTGGAGACTGTGGCAGACATTATGTAGGGACGAGAGCTCCAAGGAGTCAAGTGAGATTCTTATGTACATAATAAGAGACAGAAGAAGTGTCTACCCTCGCTACAATCATGCTACCTGTGTAGATGACGCAGCAATGTTTAAAGCTGAAAACAAAGCACCACCTGGCCAAATAAATCGTATAGTTTTTTCCAACACTAAAAATGTTAAACGCGTATCCTTTCTATATCTGTCGCTAGATCCACTTGCTTTACCTTCTTATGTTCCTAACCGGAGACTTGGGTTGGGACCCCTAATTTAAACACGCCTAAAACAGAACACATCAAGGAAATAATTTAACAATGCTAGAATAAGAGGAGCTATTTGGCGTCAAGAGAGGAATTGAGCTAAATTAGATCAAAAGTTCACTTTTCAGTGTGTGGTTGACATCTAGTTGCATAGCAAATGTTCGAAGCATCGGTGAAACAGTGTAACTCGATTGAGGTTGGTTCTAAACCAACATATCTTGGTATTGAAACATTAGAAATGCTGACAATATCACGTTTTATTTCTTGCCACTCCTTGCATTTGTCCTCGGTTAGGGGAACGTCCCAGTCCAAATTTTCTTCCCACAAACTTTGAATAAAAAGCTTTGCTTTCAATGTTACTGGGATAAATAGACCAGAAGGGTCAAATATTGAGGATACGAGTTTCAAAACAATCTCTCTCAACAATCTCTTTGTACAAATATCTTCTATAGGCTATAGTTAATTGGTTTTATGCTTAAAGTGTCCTCTGTAGTATCCCACTTTACACCCAAGACATTTACATTTGATTCATCTTCTTTTGTGAGCTTACCATGAGGTATGTTCTCTTTGAGCGCCTGAGAGTTGGAGCACCATCCTTGGAGGTTCATGTTTGCTTGTGAAAACAAATCAGTTACAAAGTCGTTGACTCCAGTTACCATTGTCAACATAGAATGAAGTTTTCAATTTCTTGGTGTCTTCTGTTAGTTCACTATGGGTATACTATGGGGTTAGGTGGTGCTTTATAGTAGCACTTAATAAGAAAGGACTTGAACTAACACCAAACGGAACTCTGGAAAATCTTAGTTCCTCAATTTTGTTTTGATTCACTGGCATTGACAAATCTTTTAACCATAAAAACCTAGTAACGTCTCTATCAGGTATGTTTAAGTTCAGTTGAAGGAAAGCTTTTTCTATATCAGCTATTATCCCTATAGGGTTGAGTTGAAAACGTATAAGCAATCCGCGTAAGTCCTCTAGTATTACTGGGCCACGATAAAGGCAGTCGTTCAAACTATTAGAAGATTTCTTTGACTGGGCTGAAGCATCATACACTATTCTTACCTTTGTTGTGGATTTTGCTTCGTTAATTATGGGATGATGTGGAACATAATGCTTAACAATGGCATTTCCAGTTTCCGGAACTTGTTCAATGATTCCCGCTGATCATCTGCTCCTTGATTATGTTATCATACTTTTGAAGCAAATCTGGTTGACTTGATAACCTTTTCACAAGCGATTTCAGTGGAGCTAATGAGAGAAAATAATTATCCGGCAAGTTTGGGGGGTATTCTTTCCATGGCCAAGAAACCGAATACCTATTCTCGACTAATTGGATAGTATTATTAAACTGCTTTAGAGCAATATCATCATCAATTTCAAATGGATTATCATGTATACCTAAAGTTTCAAGACTCAGAGGTCTTTGTCATTAAGTTGTTCTACAAGTTGAGAATCTGCAGAATGAAAGTAAGCTTTAGGAACAAACAAGTTAGATGGCTGGACCGTAGTTAAGAATGAAGTTGAGTAAGAGTCAGTTTCAATAGAGTTTATTAAGCTCCTTCCGCTGATGACCCAGCCTAATTTAGTGTTTAAGAGGAAAAGTCCATTGCTTACCTCAATTTTGTCGTCATTTATAAAGTCCAAGTAATGGTCATTTCCAATAAGAAGGTCAATTTCGGAGTTCAGGTGTTGACCTTGAGCCAAAGTTAATTTAGGATATATATATTGATTTTATTTGATCAATAATATCTATCATCCCGCTTGAGTGGACTTGTCCAGTTATTTGAGGCACAACATTTGCTTGTACGTTGATTGTGTCTTTATTTAAAAGCGATATACCAACACAAACAACAGGTGTCTCAAGAGTTTTACAACTTTTGTTTCCGAAAGTGAACACATTTAATATCTGATGTTGTTCGGATTTTAATTGTAACTTAGAAGCTAATGTCTTTGACATGTATGACCTTTGACTACCTGAATCGAATAAAAGTCTAGCAGTGTGAGTTAGTTTGTTAACTTCATTTGTAACATTTACAATTGCAGTTTGTAAAATTACCTGTTCGTTAACTGCAAGAAGAGACGATAACTTAGTTGATTTTAGTTGAGTTGTGGTCAAGTGTGACGAGCCTCCAATTGGTTTTGGTACTTGTAACTCTCGTCCCGTAGGAACAGTCGGGGAATTCACAGCATCTTTGGTGATACCTGGTGGAAACTGTTTAGGGCAAAGGCTCCTGTGGTGATTTTTGCTTTGCTTACAAAAAACACAAGCCTTGAAAGTTTTACAATTTTTTAAGGCTATATCCCCTTTTTAAACAAATAAAACATAACCCCTTTATTTTGTCCTTACGCTCACTTACTGTGCTGAATGCCGTGCATTGATCACTCCAATGGTCTTTCTCACAAAATATACATCGTCTTAGATTGCAGGACCCATCACCAGTTAACAGGGTCTCGGTAGTTGAGGTAGGTTTATGAATGATATGCTCCACAGTCACATCCCTAGACTTAGTAGAAATTCCCAACAGCATCTTTGATTTCTCTCTAACGATTAGAATGTTTTGAATTGTACTACAAAGTCGATTTACGTTTAATTCTTTGCCTAAGTTTAGTTCTTCAACCTTCAGTAGAACATTGAGAGGTAACTTACTAGTAATAAGTGTGAGGAAGTAGTTTGAATTTGTATCCTCCCCTAAGGCTTGTAAGCATCTCATATGTTTTCCAATTATGTCGAAGGTACGACGCAAGAATTTTGTGTCATTAGACTTAACAGGAGGAATTTCTATTAGCGACTTGTAGTGTGAGTTTACAATTATTGGTTTGTTAGCAAACCTACTCTTCAGTAAAGAAATTGCTGTATCATAGTTTAATGATGTTAGTGGGAGTCCGGATATACAACGTTTAGCTTCCCCCTCATGAATTCAAATAGTTAAATTTGTCAATCACAGTAAGAGCATCATTGCTATGAATGGAGGAAGAAAAGGAATCCCAAAACTCCTGCCATTTGAGGACGTCTCCATCAAAGGTTGGGATGACAAGTTTTGGTAGTTTGACCAAACAACGTTTAGATTCTGACACTACAGTTTGTTCATGGGAGTTACATAGTTTGTCTGCATATAATGGGGTGTGAAGGAATCTATTCTTACCTGTAGTTTAGCAATTACTTCTTCGCAATTGAGAACAAGTTCAAATGGATCTCCCTCTGACGTACTTGCCTCTCCATTCGTTGAGTCAGTGATTACAATGTGATCAAGTAAGCCTTCCAGACGTCTACGATATCCATCTAAAGTCATCAGTGTGCCAAGGAGGTCAGGTTTGGAAAAGTCCTCCCCTTGCAGAAGTGAACTGGCCTCGGTAATTGTAGTGCCCAATCTCTTGCTCAAGGTATCAATTTTCTTCAGTAGTCTTGAGGTCATATTTTCCAGCTCTGCTACCAATTGGCGCGGATTTATAAGTTTTGTTCTAATTTAAGTAGATATATAAATGTGGGAGCGTGAAAGAAGTTTTATTTTTGACAATTAAAGTATTTCAGTTTTAGATAACATTTATCTTTTTGCTATTAGTTCAACTAGTACCACTCACATTATTTTCTTTTTATATTCACAACATCTGGTATTAATTACATATGTTACAAACAGTCTTTTGGGAAATGTTATGGCTTTGCCACAGTTTCTGTGTTTGGATGTTATTAGAAACGGCAAGAGCACAATAAAATTTTTCTGCAGGTAAATGTTCTGTTGGAGAAATTTAAGCCGAATTATAAATGTCACAATGCGAGTTTGAGCATTTTGTAACCATATTATATGGGTAAGTTACATAGATTTTTTAGGCTGCTGCTCAGTGCACTTAAAGAATATATATTTTAGAGATAAATTAAATGGTTTTTGTTGCTGAGTAGCAATAGTAAACGTGCACAACCCTTTTCGTTAGTCTAATAACATTTAAAGGCTCTCTAAGAGTTCAAGTCCTTATTTGTATACATATCTATATTATGTTTTCACTAAGCTGAATTAATAAATCGAAGTAACCTCTCTGAAAAGTCTGCAGTATATTGCAATTTTACAGCTTAATGACTTTCTAAATCATGCACATATTTCTACATAAATGTTGTAAAATGTTTTATCCAGTTGCTGTAAACCACTATTAATTTAACAAAATATGAACACGGCTCAAATGGGCACCGTGCCCTTCTCCATTAGTATTATTTTGTATTGTATTACACAATCAAAGATTTTTTCAATATTGATTGCATGTATGACAATAATCTCATTATGATCCGTCTTGAATAATATGATAAAATATAGGGAAAAGGTGTGAAAATGACAGACACCTACCCGTAAAATAGATATAAAATAGTTCAATAAGAAATAATTTTAAGAGTTACTGCGATAAAAGGATTTTCCACTGATTTCGTAATGGAACGTTATATTGCAAAACATGACATGATACAGAAGAAAATCGATTTTAAAATCAGAAAATAACATTGCAAATACTTCTTTTGGACAATTCAGTAACTCCCAATAAATGTGTATTGTTTAAAATACAATTTTAAAATCAACAGCTGTTTTCAAAATGTAAACAAATCTGTGGAGGGATCTTTAAAGGCTTATGGGGGCAGAGCCCTGAGCGAATTTACTTAATTTTTCTTTTGATAACTCATCTAGAGACCAAGATCTTTCTTTGGACACCTCTACCAAGTTTCTACGCCTAGCCGTTCTCTCAAATTAGTGGAGACAAAGTTTCCAATTAAATATTTTGATTTCCCCATGTTAATCTTATGGGAGAAAACCCAACTTGGATGGAAGATCCTGCCCGAACTAATAAAGATATAAAACAACGAAAAACACTTAGCAAAACTACAGATCAGGGCAATTCTTTTGACACTTTAATCATTAAAATCGGTCCAAAAATGAGGGAGGAGTTCTGATCACAAAAAAGGGCTCCCAAGTTTGATCAAAATGTATCCATAAATAAAAGAGGAACTATGTATGTGTGTATATATATATATGTATATACGTTATGGACTCCGAAACCGCTCGACACATTGTAAGGAAACATTCAGGCATTATTAAGCATCTTTCAAGGATGGTTCGAGTGAAGTTTGGTGCAGATCCGTCTAAAGGGCTCTGCCCCAGAGGGTTTTAAGTGGGCCAATGTCAGACTTTTTGATCTACAATGTTAACAAATAAATATAATTCAAAAGCAGATGTTTACTTTTACCAACTGTTTTGTAGGTTTGAATAATCACAACATTCTGTGTATTAGCAATAGTCAGGATTTGAAATAGTGCCACAGTGTTTCTACAGAGTGCAGCACAGAAAACTATTTTACTTTTGAATAAGTCCAAATTTATTAACCCCAATCACAGCACACCTGTGCACTTAACAACGTCTAAATTCTTCAATGTTAAATATTATAACATAAAAACCTTTATCAAAGTATTAAAAACAATAAAAGGGATGACTTTTTTAAATATATGACAACAGCTAATTTGCAACCTAAAGGTGAGTGAGTGTAGCGAACGAACATCAACCTGGAGGCGAGTTAGCGTAGCGAACGAGCTAACCTGAAAACAAGTGAGCGCAGCGAACGAGCTCTCACCTAAAGGTGAGTGAGCGTAGCGAACGAACTTCAACCAGGACCTGATTGAGCCATGCGAATACTTATGAAGTTAAACTGGGCAAAGCCCGCGGGTACAGCTAGTATATCCATAAACAAGCAAACTACACAACATTTTACAATATTCTTTATAAGAATAACCATGAGTATTTAAAATTTACAATTTTTGGAATTTTATCCGTTACCAAAAACCTCACAAAAACACTTAAATATACTAAGGTGTTTGTCTTTTTAAGCTCTTTAAAATGGTTTAGAGACAAATTGGGAAAATTTGTGTTTTAAGGGTCAAAAAATGTGAAAAACCAGTTTTGACCCCATAAAATCCCGTTCCCATCATCCAATCATGCTGGTTTGCGGAACTCATTCAATTTTATCCCACCTTATACCTTCAAACCCAATTTCATCAAAATTGGACAAAAATTACTTAAGTTATTGCGTTTACGGACACACACACACACACACACATATATATATGTAAATATATATATATATATATATATATATATACATATATAAAAATTTGAACGAATAGTGTTTTTGGCTTTTGGGGACATCAAAACGAAAAAGTAAATCGGTCCCGGGCTAAAGTCTTACCATAAGACCTACGGTAATACATTTGTAGAAAACACTAAAAAACAATATCAGATTTTGAAAAATTATAAGATACTAGCTGTTGTACCCGTGCTTTGCAACGGGAAGAGGACACAAAATAGAAACATTTTAATCTTTACATCTGTTGCATATAATAGTTACACATCCGCCAACGCTTTTAGAAACAAAATTCAACTTTTATAGCCTTAATAGAAACGTTTAAGTTATATGACTTTTAAATCTGGTAAGTAGGGGATACCACTATTTTGGTTTTGATTAATTTTAAATCTTGTGTAGGCTGATATGAGAAAAAATTACCAAATCTTCGAATAAAACATTGACATAGGCCTACATGATTTACCTTCATCTTACATATCTTTTGATTTATTATTGCCATTTTAAATTTCAATTTTGAAGTTGCAAAAATACTAATTATTAAATTTAAATGAACATTTTTTTTAAAATTTCACTCTTCTTTATATTAAATCACAAATCCTTCCATCTTCAGTTTCTTCACTCACAATAAATCATTAGCAAAACTAAGTCAGCTGTTATAAACTTTAGAAATATTGCTGTGCCTTATCAATACTGTTTTTTTGAAATATTAAAGAGACTATATCTATAGGTACTACACAAAAATTTTAACAAATAATTTAGCATTAAAGACAGCAGACAAAACTAATATGATTATCAAAGCATCAAGGACTAAAAAATGTAATAGCAAATACAGTATATGTTTCATTGCATCTCCTGATTCTACTCTACAAAAATATCAACAAACAACTTAATATACAAACTCGTTCTTTTAATCAGTTCCATCGTCCATTGCCTTTACATTTTCACAATTACCATTAAGTAAACATAGTATCAGATATTTCATTGATTTTAGAAACAAAAGAACACTGTGTACCTACTGATTAGTTTTATGATATTTTCCTTGGTTTAATTTAATCAGTGGTTTGGCAAAACACAAATAATAAATGTATCAAATAAGAAATTTTGATTATATCGAACTATTATGAACATCGTGAGTATATCCATAATCTGTGATTCGACTCTTTTATCGGGAATTATGATTGTTTTTTGTTTAAAAATAACTTCTGCAATGCTTCGCAATTGCTCGAATTTGAGCACCACATACACTAGTTGTATATATTACACTAAAATTTAACTAATTAAAAACCAAATGAAATACAGAAAAATAGACTCACTACAGTAATATAGTACCAGTACTGTTGGTTTAACAATGACACTCTATTGTAGGGTTCATACCTGCGTGCTTGATACCAATGCCATGCAACCCATGTCGATTGTTATCTTTTATCATTAGGTATCTAAATAATTATCACAACTATTGCATCAGTACATGTAAATATCACACAATTTATTCATGCATTTTCAAAATAACAATGGACACACTTATTAATTAATCTGAGATATTTCAATTTGCAACAGTTTTATTTGTATAATTATTAAAAAACTAGCTGTAACCCGCGGGCTTTGCCCCGTTTAACTTCTTAATTTTCAAGATGATCTCGTTTGCATGGCTCAATCACGTCCTGGTTGAAGTTCGTTCGCTACGCTCACTCACCTTTAGGTTGGAGCTCGTTCGCTACGCTCACTCACCTTTAGGTTGGAGCTCGTTCGCTGCGCTCACTTTCCTTCAGGTTAGCTCGTTCGCTACGCTCACTTGCCTTCAGGTTAGCTCGTTCGCTACGCTCACTCGCCTCCAGGTTGAAGTTCGTTCGCTATGCTCACTCACCTTTTGGTTGCAAATTAGCTGTTGTCATAAATGTAAAAGAAATAATAGTGCTGCACCCTTTTGGTAATCCTTGTAACTTTAATGCTATTGAACATCATAGAACAGAACCAACTTGTTTAATTGAAACAGCTGTTAAGATTCATTAATGCCATTTCTCATAAGGTTAACATGGGAAACTCCAGAGCCACTGGGGCGGAGCCCGGAAGGATTTTTGGGATAAAAATATGCCTATATGTTAATCGGGAATATGAGCTATCATCATGCCGAATTTCAGCCCGATCCGACCAGTATTTTTTGCGTTCACTTGTCACAAACATACATCCATACATCCATACATCTAAACTTTCACATTTATAATATTAGTAAGATTTATCCAGTTGCTGTAAACCAATATTAATTTAACAAAATATGGACACGGATCATATGGGCAACGTGCCCTTCTACACTTGTATTATTTTGTATTGTATTACACAGTCGAAATCATTTCCAATAATTGAAAACATGTATGGAAATAATCTCATGAACCTATGATGATCTGTCTTGAATAATATGACATAATATCGGCAAAAGTGGTCAATAAGGCAGACACTAACCCGTACAATTAGATATAAGATAATTCGATAAGAAATCATTTTAAGAGTTACTGTACTATTATGATTTTCAAATTATTTCGCAATTGAACGTTATATTGCAAAACATGACATGATGCAGAACAAAATAAATTTTAAAATAAAAAAATTTCATTGAAAATACTTATTTTTGACAAACTCAGTAACTCCCTATAATACAGGGTTATTACAAATGATGTTCATGATTTCATACATACATAAAATATAGTTTTATTTGTTATATAAAGAAATAAAATGAAAATTTGAAAAACTCAAAAAGTTTCGACACAGATACACAGATCTGTAAATGCTCAATACGGGAACCCCTTGTGGTACGACAGATGTCAATAATGTAGTCAAGCAAAAGTGTGTTTGAAAAGTGTGTCTTGGTCTATTGTTTCGGTAGCATTGGTAATCCGTTGCTGGATCTCAAGTATGCTATCTGATAATGGTGGTGTGTATGCCTTATCTTTGATATATCCCCACAAGAAAAAAATCAGGGGGTGATGTCCGGAGATCTTGTAGGCCAGTTCAGGGGTGTGTCATTATTCGGACCACCGAGCTCGTTCCATATCTCAGGCAGCACATTGTTAAGTTCAGCCCTACTACAAATAACATACAAATGCAGCCATTTCTCTTAAATTTCAAGTGTCACTTGCCAAGGACTAGGAGGATAATCGTTAAACCTGGTTCTAAAGTGTCGTTGCACACTAATAACAGATTGGTTAATGTAATATTCCAACTGGCAAAAAGCTTTCCTGCCTTCAAATTCAGCCATTACACAACACTTACAACAATTGACTTGACAAACAGCTGATATGCACCCAAACCAATGTAAATAAAACTTTGTGAGTTTTTCTTTCCAATGGTACCAACTAAAATAGTCTCGAAACAAATTAACCCAGTAATATTTATAATCGAAATCAGGAACATCATTTGTAATAACCCTGTATGTGTTGTTTAAATACAATTTAAATATTAACAGCGGTTTCATTAAAAAGTATTGAAAAATTATCCATATGACGATAATGTAAACAAATCTGGGAAGGGAACTTTAAAGGCTTCTGGGGAAGAGCCCTAAGGGAATTTACTTCGTTTTTATTTTGATTGCTCATCTACAGACCGAGACCTTTCTTTGGACACCTCTACCAAGTTTCTACAACCAGGTGTTCTCTCAAATTAGTGGAGACAATGTTTCCAATTAAATGTTTAGATTCCCCCATGTTAATCTTACGGGAGGAAACCCAACTTCAATGGAAGATCCTGCCTAAACTAATAAAGATTTCAAAAAATGAAAAATCTTTGCGACTGTAGTTTCGCAAGGCCATTCTTTTGACACTTTGATCATTAAAATCGGCCCAAAAATGAAGGTAAGAGTTCTGTTTACAAATATCGGCTTAGCGTATTATATGTATATACAAGCTGCTATACCCGTGCGTTGCAACGGGAAGAAAATGTGACCCAGCGAGCTAAATAAAGTGGTGCTGATGTGTGTTTAAAAATACAACAACTCTGTGATTTAGTATGAAAATATAAACTGATTTGAAAGTGTAAACTTCTTACTTTCAAACCCTTACTTTTAATGTTATTGAATCCAAAAGAATATGACAACATACCTTAGTGTAGCAATAGTATCAATTGCTTCATTGATGCTTCATGAATGACATGTTTTACCATAATTCTTCAATTATTTTAGTCAAGCCTTTTTATACGTAGCTTACTACATAAATTACAAAATGAAACTTTGAGCAATACTTTACAAAACGTATACAACCTTTCTTTAAAACCAAACATAACCCTCCTCAATCTACATAAAGCACCACAAACATCTTTTTCGAGTAAATAAACAAACACCAGTTCATTGTACTGACCAGCTGTTTCATTAACTAAATGGAATTAAATAATCTAAACTTTAGAAGTGTACCAGGCGTAGCCCTTTGGAAATCAGCCTGTGGGGCAGAGCCCTTAGGAAATTCATTCATATCAATACTTTTCTTCAAATCTACATACTCTAAGCTTCATTTTGATGTGCCATATGCCTATATTTGTATTTGGTAAATGGCTTTAACCGTTTACATAAAATTTTATTGTATCACTTTAATAATATAATAGATATATATAGATTGATGGCTTACCGAATGTACTCCACTGTTATTTGTTTCATTTTCCATGCAAAATCTTGAAGTAAGTGATTTTTCCAATCTGATATCAGACAATGAACAAACACTGGTTGTTATCAGGTTGCGTTTATGAAAACAATTCCGTTCCAGATACTTCGACTGTTATAGTATTCCACGGTAGGCTATCTACAATATGTGTGGTCCATTCTTGTGTTGTGAGCCTGTTAACTGTTTTTTACATTCATGTTTGTATTGCGGTTTCACATTATCATTTTTAGCCTGTACCCTCCAGAAACTCCATATATTTCTCTACAAATATGTTCGCAGATTTGTTAGATACACTACCTCACTCTCGTTAAAGTGTGACATTAAACTATTGATTCTGCAAATTGAGACATTCATCAGGACTTTGTTTAGAAGTGTTTAGGACTGTGAACTGGCATATGCTGTGTCATATGAAAAGAAAGTGTGTAATATAAACAACAGATTACATTTTGAGGTTGAACACATTATTTGTACCTGGAAAAAAGTAATAAGCTACAATGGTTTGTAACATTTTGTTTTCTCTATAAGCAAACAGATTTTTACTTTTGATAAAAAAAATTCTAAAAAAATATCAAACAAAAGGGGTCACGGTGAAAAAGTAAAATTGTGCTGACGACGAAAATCAGATATTGAAAACCTGTATGATTATGATGACCTCTTAGGATCTATTAGCAGGATAAATTATTAATAAACATGTAGTATACAATCAACGTTTACAACAGTTTAACAGTGTATAAACAACATTATTCAAGGAGGGAATTGGGAAGACTTTGTTTAATTATCTGTAACAATATTAAAAACACTTCCTGAAAAATATGTTTAGAACTACTTTTTGGCCCTATGGTATCAATCTGCTACTACACACATGTACTTATGTGAAGTATAATTTAAATTCCTTTCCTCACCTTTCCTGGTGGTGTGACAACAGGACTGAATTTGACCTGGTCCGGCCTGGGTCCGCAGGGGCAGCCATGCGAACAATTTCCGGGGTGAGACAACAGGACTGAGGGAAATCTCCCTCGCCACGTCGGGTTTTTCTCGTTCTCCCATGGTTCTCCTGCGGCCAGCTCCCTTCTCCCTATCTACACACACACACAGGCAAGAGAACTGATCACCTGATGGAATTGTTCACCAAATTGCTGCGTCGTGTTTTCGAATAGATAAAACGTAACTGTGCGGCAATAATTTTTCAGATCAAGACAGAAATGTCCTATGTTAGTAGGATATTTTAGCTATATTAGCCTAACCTATACTAACTTAACCTAACCTAACCTCATACCATAAAAATATTTACTACAATATTATCTATCTATCTATCTATCTATGTATTAATAGGCAAGCATGTTTCTTTAAAACCTTTTTTCTCAGCTCGTGTGCATCGCAGGGAAAATCTACGCATACCTTTAGAAAGATATTTTCCTGTAGAAGTGCAGAATCCCTTTAAAAATTAAAATAGGCTCAAATATAGGCACAAAAAATGGATTTGAAATTAAAAAAAAATTAACATGGGCTTTATGGGTTGCCATGTTGGCGACGAAATAACAAAAAAATATAAACAGAAAATCAAAACAAATGGAAGAAATTACAATCTAATGTTTTATTTACAGCGTGGGGTGAAAATAGAGAAGCCTGTACATTGGATATTTTAGGTCGAGTTTCGACCACTGGGCGACCACTAGTTATTATATAAAAGGCAACTACTATACCTGTTTAAATAATTTTAATAAA